TCTTGTTAAAATTTTGATTTTTTTCGAATGGTTAAAAAAATTGTTGGTGCAAAATGTTAAATCTTTTAAAATTTGAATGATCTTGAAATTTTTTTATCTATTTAAACACATTTACGCATCTTTTTTAACATTTCTGATACAAAACTGGTTGCCAGTTGTTTTTATTTGGCGATTTTGCTTAGATCTTGTTTTATTTTTCAAATATAAATTCAGACACTGCCGTAAAAGTCGTAGTTCAATTTTGATACACCAAATGTCTTACCTTCTTTAAAACATTAAATTTCATCATCTTTAAGATTATTGCTAATTGAAATTTTATTTCAAGAATATAAGATGAACAGTATAGAAGTGAGAGGAGCTTCAAAAACTTACGATAGTAAAACTCTAGTCTTAAATGGATTAAATTTGACGGTTCAAACTGGTTGGATGTGAGTAAATCAAAATTTTATTGTTTTTATCGTAAAATTTTGGTAAATCATTAACTGCCAGCTGTGTAAAAGTATTTCAGTTACTTTTGTAGTCACTCAAGAAGAGGAAATGCACAACATTAAAAAAATTAAATTTCAAATTTATTGTGTGTGCGTGTAATTTGTTTTTGCCGCTGATTCAGGGACTTTAACATAAAAATATTAATATTTTAATATTTAACTTTAAAAATCAAGGTTTATTTTGATAAAAGCCGATTAATATTAAAGCAATGCATTGGTACAATAATCAGATTTATATTCTTCTGATTTGACAATTTGCATTCCAATGACTTCTCTCAAAAGTGCATTTGGGATAAAATCACCACCTTTTTATGAACCGTATTCATCTGAACTCATACTTAAGCTTCATTCAACCTCTCTACAATGTAAACAAATCCTCAATAATTATTTTGATTCTATGATTTTAGTTATGGCTTAATTGGTCCATCTGGATGTGGGAAGACGACCCTACTCTCATGCATCCTAGGTATGAAGCAACTCGATGAAGGGACAATCAATGTTCTTGGTCAAGAAGTTTCATATAAAAATCCATCAAAATTTCCACATCGAATTGGATACATGCCACAAGAAACAGCACTGGTTCCAGAACTGACAATCAAAGAAACTTTAAATTATTTTGGAAATATTTATCAGATGAATCCATCTTTGATGAAACAACGACTAATCATGATCTGTGATTTATTGGATCTTCATGATGGCAATAAGCGTGTCAACCATCTTTCAGGTGGTGGAAAGAGACGAGTTTCATTTGCTGCTGCTTTAATTCACAATCCAGAAATTCTTATTCTTGATGAGCCAACAGTTGGACTTGATTCTATTCTTCGTGAAAAAATTTGGAAGTTTCAAATTGAATCGACAAAGTTATCAAATACGACAGTCATCATCACAACGCATTATATTGCAGAAGCAGAAAAGTCAGATTGTTGTGGATTAATGAAAAATGGAGTTTTACTGATTGAAGATAGTCCACAAAATATTTTTAAAAATTTAGGTGTTCAGAATCTTGAAGAAGCGTTCTTAAACTTGTGTATCCGAGAAAATACTGGAAATAATAAGAATAGCTTGAATGATGAACGTCCACAATGTTCGCATGAATTTGTCAATCACAAAAAAGTAAAAGAAGAAACTAAGCTGTCAACAGAAACAACAAAAGATTTGATTCATGAAAAGAAGAAAAAATTCAGCAATCAAACAATTAAAGCACTGCTGAATAAGGAGCTAGTAAGAATATTTAGACAGCCTTAGTAAGTTTTTCAAGTCAAGTATTGCTTTGATGGTCAAAATTGTTAAGGTTCAACTTAACAGGCAACCATCAAGCTTAATAAACTTCAATACGATAAATTAATAATTTAATATTTTTGTCATTGTAGTGAAATTGGATTTACATTCGTTTTTCCATTACTTCAAGTCTTCTGCTTTACTGTAGCATTAGGAAAATTTTCGAAGGAACTACCGCTTGGAGTTATAAACCGTGATGTCATTGATACTAATTTCTGCTCAGAATACTTAAAATCCACAAACTATGAATTCAACACAAGTACCTGTACTTTTGAACATCTTTCATGTTACTTCCTTAATGAAATCGATGATAAATCTGTTAAGAAGATTTACTACAATTCATTTGAAGAAGCCTTTGATGAAGCAAAAGCAGCAAAAACATTTGGATTCATTTCAATATCATCAAACTTTACAGATGTAATGAGCCAAAGAAAATTTGATTGGCAACCGATTTCCGAAAACTTTTCATACTCAAACCAAATATCAGTGTACTTGGACCACACTAGCTTGCAGTTTTCATATTATCTCAAAAATAAATTGTGGAAAACTTTTGAAAAATTCAATAAGAAAATGTTGCGGCACTGTGAATTGGATGAACGTTTAGAGGACTTTCCATTAAGATTTAATACATTTCATGGAGAATTAGATGCTGATCATACGATAATGATGTATCCTGGATTGTTTGCATTGTTGAGTATCTTTTGTAAAATGCTTTATACTTAAATACTTACTTTGACATTTCTATAGGGCGATTATGCTTGGAGGAATCCTTTTCTCAATCTCAAGTCTTTCACAGAACAGAATCGAAGGAATTTGGAATCGAACCCTCTTGGCAGGAGTTAAAACATCGGAAGTTTTATTTTCACATGTCATAATTTTGATATTTTGTGACTTGATTGAAATATTTGTTCTTAAGATCGCCACAATCTTCTTGCTTAAAAGTCCAATAATTGGCAATCAATTGCTTCTTGGATTATTCTGTTTAGTCTTGTACATGGCTGGAAACAGTATTGGACTATTCATTTCCGTTTTTACAAACAATGTAGCCGTTCTTAATAGTTCTGGAATAATGGTTGTGATTGCGTTCACTTTATCAAGTGGTGTTGTCTGGTATGTTGTTCATTAATAGACTAAATGTTCATTATAAAATTGGACATACAACCTTATTAATGTTCATTTCTAATACTCGCAGGCCCATCGAAGGACTTCATTCAGTTCTTAAATATTTTTCATATATTACACCTTTGACCTTATCAATAGCAACAATCAGAAATATTGTCTTTAAAGGTTTCACAATAACGCATCCAACTGTTTATGGAGGATTCTTGCTACTTTCTGGTTGGATTATTTTAATGCTGTTCCTGTGTTACCGGATGTTGAAGAAGAAAAAGTTTACAGATTAAAATTCAATATTTTTAAACCAAAGAAAAGCAAAAACTTCTTAATTTTTTTTTAGAATTTTAAACTAGTCTTGTAAATAAATTGAATATGTAGATCTGAAAGATCTGAGTTAATAAAGTGGTGGACCAATAATAGCAAATTTCTAAACTTTTAAGAGTAAAAAAATTTGGCAGATATTGTTAAATTCAAACAGTCACCATAACAAAGTTCCATAACAAAAAAAATTAGACAATTTTAAAAATATTGAGAAGATCATGGTTGTTTAACTTGTATTTAACGTGACGCTATAACTCAACGAGTATGTGAATATAATGTCCAAAAAAAACCTGATATTAACTTCCACGCAAAATTGTGTAAGTTATTAGTTTCAGTCAGAACATACTTGAATTTTTCTATACATAAACTTTTACAATTGCACATCATCTATGACTTCAAACCCCCAAAAAACGTTTTTAAGGTCTGAGAATTTTTTTGCGTTGACAGGCTTCGTTTCACACCCTTGCATATATAATTTGGATATATAAATGGAAAAATATGACTTACATAGAGAGCTACGAACTGGTTCTTGGTTTGAGACATCATAAAAACTTTACTGGATCTTACTGTTTAGATCCAGAAATGATTGAAACTTAACTGGATACTCAAAACACCTTTTAGTTATAAACCTACTATAATCTATAGCCGTTGAACGGAAAGAAGCTTGAATAAAATAAGTTCGAACGAAGTTTGGTCTAGTTTGAGCGAATATCACAAATTTTTAAGTCCTGAACGGAGCGTAGCGAAATGAAGGCGTGAAAATTTTACCCTCTCTAGAAGATACAGTACGCTCTAGATAATTTGGATGCATAGATGACCATAAAAATATTCAAACGTATTATTAATATATTTAAATAATTTTTTTCGATGCTAGGGAAACAGTTGAACGAAACAGAGTTAAGTTCAATGCACCTGTAATTTATTAACCTACTATAATCTATAAACAGTTGTACCAAATGGAATGAAGTTCCAGTACGATCTGAAACTTGGTTTATAAAATAAACGAGTATACGAATTTTATGATAAAAAGATCTGTTGTAGAGTATTAATGCGTTCCTGAAACTTTACTTTGTAATTTTTTAACTGTGTAATCTATTGTTTAATAAGTTTGGAAGTTCGTCATTGTCTACGTAAGTCGTGTTTTTTCTGTTCTTTTATTTCAGTTGCATCGCGTCTTTTCAAGCGATCGGAAGTAATTTTTTCGTAAAATTGTATTTTTCAACTTTTAAAAAATTCAAACATTTTCAAAATTTTATAGTTTTAATTTAAATAAATTAATAAAAAAAAGTCTGAAATTGTTTAAGGTACACAAATTTATTTTGGATTCTCTTTTATCAAAATTAAGCCAATTTATTAGAATGTCAAGATCTTTTGATTTATTATATGTCTAAAAAACTAGTCGGTTCTAAATATCAAAAGTTGAATTTTTAAAACTGTTTTATAAATTAAAATTAAAACGACAAAATGCCATCTGTCAGATGGTCTTTATGGACAAAATAATTTTATTTTTCGTACTTTATAATTTCAAAAACTCTCAGCGTAAGAAAAAATTTAAAATTGTAGAACCATGCTAGTTGAAAGTTGAATTAAAGCTGGATTCGGTAAAGTCCTGTTGCACATATTCCATGCATCTGGTATTCTTTCTTCTATCCCGTATTTTTTTCCATCCAACTAATCAATTATGATTATTCGTATTGTTCAATTCTGTTACGATTTTCTTAAATTCTCTTCACGACAGCCAAGCGGATATTAAACCAAGCTGCAACTTCTTCCAAATACTTGTCATTGGTTTAAGAGATGAACAGCATAGAAGTGAAAGGAGCTTTAAAAAGTTACGATAATAAAGTTCTAGTCTTAAATGGATTAAATTTGTCGGTTCAAACTGGTTCGATGTGAGTAAAATAATATTTCCTACTTATTTAATCAAGATTTTCTGCATAATCATCCTCGAAAAAGCTGTGAAAGATCACTAAGAATATTTTGAAGAATATCGTCGAATAAATGAATTTAAATGAACCACAACAGCAAAAAAAATAACATTTTGAAGTCACTGAAGAAGAGGATATGTGTGATAATTAGAGAGAAAAATGTAGTTTAAAAATCTTCTGCGAACGAAACTTACGTTTTAGAAAAAAATCAAAAATTGTTCAATCAGTGACTTAAATATATTTTAATAAAATATTAAAATTTCAATAACAAAATAATCAAAATTGCACTATAAAATGAAGTGAATGTAAAAAAGCTTATATAGCTTAATTTGATTGGAACTACAGCAATGGATTGGTAAAACGAACCAAATAAATATCAAGGACATCTCCAAAAAGTGCATTTGGGATAAAATCACCACCTTTTAAGAACCGTATTCACCTGAACTCATACTTAAGCTCCACCTAACCTCATCTACAAATTAAACGAATCCTCAATAATTATTTTGATTCCATGATTTTAGTTATGGCTTAATTGGTCCATCTGGATGTGGGAAGACGACCCTACTCTCATGCATCCTAGGTATGAAGCAACTCGATGAAGGGACAATCAATGTTCTTGGACAAGAAGTTTCATATAAAAATCCATCGAAATTTCCACATCGAATTGGATACATGCCACAAGAAACAGCACTGGTTCCAGAACTGACAATCAAAGAAACTTTAAATTATTTTGGAAATATTTATCAGATGAATCCATCTTTGTTGAAACAACGACTAATCATGATCTGTGATTTATTGGATCTTCATGATGGCAATAAGCGTGTCAACCATCTTTCAGGTGGTGGAAAGAGACGAGTTTCATTTGCTGCTGCTTTAATTCACAACCCAGAAATTCTCATTCTTGATGAGCCAACAGTTGGACTTGATTCAATTCTTCGTGAGAAAATTTGGAAGTTTCTTATTGAATCGACAAAGTTATCAAATACGACAGTCATCATCACAACACATTATATTGCAGAAGCAGAAAAGTCAGATTGTTGTGGATTAATGAAAAATGGAGTTTTACTGATTGAAGATAGTCCACAAAATATTTTTAAAAATTTAAGTGTTCAGAATCTTGAAGAAGCGTTCTTAAACTTGTGTATCCGAGAAAATACTGGAAATAATAAAAACAGCTTGAATGATGAACGTCCACAATGTTCGCATGAATTTGTCAATCACAAAAAAGTAAAGGAAGAAACTAAGCTGTCAACAGAAACAACAAAAGATTTGATTCATGAAAAGAAAAAGAAATTCAGCAATCAAACAATTAAAGCACTGCTGAATAAGGAGCTAGTAAGAATATTTAGACAGCCTTAGTAAGTTCTTTAAGTCAAGTATTGCTTTGATGGTCAAAATTGTTAAGGTTCAACTTAACAGGCAACCATCAAGCTTAATAAACTCCAATACGATAAATTAATAATTAAATATTTTTATCATTGCAGTGAAATTTGTTTTACATTCGTTTTTCCATTACTTCAAGTCTTCTGCTTTACTGTAGCATTAGGAAAATTTTCGAAGGAACTGCCGCTTGGAGTTATAAACCGTGATGTCATTGATACTAATTTCTGCTCAGAATACTTAAAATCCACAAACTATGAATTCAACACAAGCACCTGTACTTTTGAACATCTTTCATGTTACTTCCTTAATGAAATCGATGATAAATCTGTTAAGAAGATTTACTACAATTCCTTTGGGGAAGCTTTTAATGAAGCAAAAGCAGCAAAAACATTTGGATTCATTTCAATATCATCAAACTTTACAGATGTAATGAGCCAAAGAAAGTTTGACTGGCAACCGATTTCCGAAAACTTTTCATACTCAAACCAAATATCAGTGTACTTGGACCACACTAGCTTGCAGTTTTCATATTATCTCAAAAATAAATTGTGGAAAACTTTTGAAAAATTCAACAAGAAAATGTTGCGGCACTGTGAACTGGATGAACGTTTAGAGGACTTTCCATTAAGATTTAATACATTTCATGGAGAATTAGATGCTGATCATACAATGTTGCTGTATCCTGGATTTGTTGCAATGTTGAGTATCTTTTGTGAATGCTTTTTAAGTTAATTCTAATTTTAAACTTTTTGCAGGGCGATTATGATTGGAGGAATCCTTTTCTCAATCTCAAGTCTTTCACAGAACAGAATCGAAGGAATTTGGAATCGAACCCTCTTGGCAGGAGTTAAAACATCGGAAGTTTTATTTTCACATGTCATAATTTTGGTATTTTGTGACTTGATTGAAATTTTTGTCATTAAGATCGCCACAATCTTCTTGCTTGATGTTCCAATAATTGGCAATCAATTGCTTCTTGGATTATTCTGCTTGCTATTGTATTTGGCTGCAAATAGTATTGGATTGTTTATCTCCGTTTTTACAAGCAATGTTGCTGTTCTAAATAGTGCCGGAGTAATGGTCGTGTTCTCATTGACATTATTGTGTGGTGTATTGTGGTAAGTAATATGGCAACCTACTCCTTCTATATATCCTTTGTTTTGGATTATTCAATTGTCTGAATTTTAACTTATAATGCCAGATTAATATAAATGCTCAGATTGACACTTTTGATTAATTTTTGTGATATCATTTAATACTTTAGGCCTTTTGAAGGACTTCATCCGCTCCTAAAATTTACTGCATATGTCGCACCATTAACACTCCCAACAACAACTCTCAGAAATATTGCTTTAAAAGGATTTCCAATAACTCATCTTACTGTCTATGGTGGATTTTTGCTCCTTTCTGCTTGGATTGTTTTGATGCTGTTCTTGTGTTACTGGATATTGAAGAAGAAAAGATTTACAGATTAATAAATTGTTCAAAAAAGTACCCTGTTTTAGAGTTTTTGATTAATTCATTTTATTTAGAATAAATTTAAATAATTAAAATTGTAACTACCTAAATGTCATCGAATAAAGGAAATGAGATTTTTTTCATTTTTTTAAAAGTAGCTAAATTTCGAAGATTATTCATTCTTTTCATATTTATTCACATTATAGTTTATTGAATTCAATTTCTGCCCTAAAGTGACCAAGGTAGCCCTATAAATCAGCAACGATTAAAAATGTTCAACACAGTTCCACATCTTTGTCTGCAACACAACATTTTGCCAGAAAAATAAAAGTCACATCAAGGATATGAACTTTTGCATTAGAATATTCTTCTTTGTACAAAAAAAATATAACATGCTGTCGAAAAGAAGGAACGATCTGCAGTAATGTGGGATTTTATATAAAAAAAAAATCTTAATAATATATTAAACCATATTTGCAGTGGCACTCATTTTACAGCGTTACTTTCAATATGTTGAAATTCAAAATGGTGGATCCTTTGCTTTGGGAAAATACAAAATGGCGTTTTTGTTAACTGGATCTTAAAAAATGTGATAAAAATTGTTTTTGTTACCATTTCTTGAAAGAAGCTTAAAAGCTAGCATTCAAAAATGTTTCTGTCATATATGACGGGGGACAATACTAGCTACTGAATATTATATGACTTAGATGAATTTTTTTTTTTGAAAAATTCTTATTCTGTTCCGTTTTATCGATTTAGTAATAAAATGAACAGTATAGAGGTAAGAGATGCAACAAAAACTTACGATAGCAAGCATATTGTTTTAAATGGATTGAATTTACAAGTGCAAGCAGGTTCCATGTAAGTACATCATATGTGATGAGTAACTTTGAATTGATTAACTTCAAAATTTTATGAAAATTTGGTTCGACATCTTTAGATACGGCTTGATTGGAGCTTCAGGATGTGGAAAGACAACTCTTTTATCTTGTATTCTTGGAATGAAGCAGCTCGATGGTGGAGTTATAAAAGTTTTGGGACAAGAAGTTGTGCATGACAAATCATCAAATTTTCCTCACATTATTGGATTTATGCCTCAAGAAACTGCTTTAGTTTTGGAACTAACAATCAAAGAGACTTTGAATTATTTTGGGAATATTTTTCAAATGAATCAAGTTTTATTGAAGCAGCGTTTGTTGATGATTTGTGGTTTATTGGAACTAAATAACGTCAATAAACGAATTTCACACTTGTCAGGAGGTGAGCAAAGACGAGTATCATTTGCTGCTGCTTTAATCCATGATCCAAAAATTTTAATCCTTGACGAGCCAACAGTTGGACTTGATTCTATTCTCCGTGAAAAAATATGGACATTCTTAATTGACTCTACAAAATCTACAGATATGACTGTGATTATCACAACACATTATATTGCGGAAGCAGAAAGGTCAAACCGCTGTGGACTAATGAGCAATGGAATATTGTTGGCAGAAGACAATCCACAGAATATTTTTCGAAGTCTTAACGTTTCAAATCTTGAAGAAGCTTTCTACAAGTTATGTTATTCAGAAAGGTTTAAAGTCAATGATGAAATTGCCAATACTGATAAAGTTCAAATGGATTTGTCCAACACAATGGAAGCATCTAGTTCAAAAAAATATTCGAAAACTAATATGGAAGACAAAAAGAGAGGAAATTTCTCATTTCAAATCTTGAAAGCATTGTTTGACAAGGAAATCATAAGAATTAGGCGTCAACCAGGGTTTGTAGTTCAAAAACTCATAGGGGGAAAACAACATGATGGAAAAAAAGTCCTGATCGAAACTAAGGCAATATGATGATCAATCATCATGATTTTTTTCCCTCGTATTAGATTACATTGCGGAATTGTAAGAAATTTCGAAAAGTCTTAAAAAATTAGCAAAAATCTTTTAAAAATTATTTTTCCATCATACTGTTCTCCCCTTGGATTCAGTTTCTTGAATCCAATTAATATAAAATTTATCTCCTTAGGGAATTCGCATTCACCATTTTACTTCCGGTTGTTCAAGTCATCTGCTTTGTATTTGGAATGGGAGGCAATCCAAAAGGGTTGCAGATAGGAATTGTCAATTATGAAGTCACAGATCAAACAATCTGCTCAGAATACTTATATTCAACAAATTACGAATTTAACAGCACATCATGTTCCTTTCAACGTCTTTCATGCTATTTCCTAAATGAAATACACGATGAAAGTGCAATGAAGGTTTACCACGATTCAATCGATGAAGCTTACAAAGACGCAAAAGCTGGAAAGACAATTGGGTTTTTGATAATCGCTTCAAACTTTACAGACGTGATTAGCGAGAGGAAGAATGATTGGCAATATATCACGGAGTATAAAAACTTTACAGACGCAAACTTGATACAAATTCATCTGGATGAAAGTGATTTCACAATCAAAACATTTTTGTATATTCGGCTATTGAAAGCTTTTGAGAGATTCAACAAGAAAGTGCTCCGACAATGCAATATAAATGACAAATTTGAAGATTCTCTACTGCGTTTGAAAACATTTTATGGAGATTTTGAAGACGATTATGTTGTTACATTAATGCCATCTGTATTTGGACAGTTGAGTCAAACGGTTGATCATAAATGACGTCTATAAGTCTATTTAAGTATCGATGTCTAGCAATGATAAGATGTGATATTATAAGCTATTTATTCATTAGACGTCATTTATGAAAAACGTCTTAAAATTCTTCTTATTAAATTTCAATTTAACTTTTTAGAATCTTATTCTTTGGTGGAATCCTCTTCTCAATTTCTTGCATAGCTCAATCTCGAATTGAAGGCGTTTGGAATCGAACCATGCTGGCTGGAGTGTCTACGAATGAAGTTTTAGCCGTGCAATTTTTTATCTTATCAATATCAAATGTCATTCAAGTTTTGATATTTAAAATATTTTTTCACATATTCTTTGATACCAAAATAATTGGAAATAGTTGGCTGCTTGGTACCGTTTGTATTGGAATGTATATGGTTGGAACTAGTATGGGATTGTTCATTTCGATTTACACGAATAATATTTATATTGTAAACAGTGCTGGAGTTATGATAAGTTTGAGCTGTGGATTCCTATGCGGAGGTATTTGGTAAGTAGCTCGATACTCGATTTTCTATTACTTACATTAAATATTTTATTAATTTTTTTCTCAGGCCAATTGAAGCACAGCCTGATTATCTCAAATATATCTCTTTCATGTTACCAACGACAATTCCAAGCATAACAATTCGAAATATTATTGCAAAAGGATTTACAGTTTCACATTATACTGTGTATGGAGGACTTTTGCTAATAAGTGGATACATTATTTTATTCTTTACTCTTAGCTTTTTGACATTAAGAAGAAGAAAATTTTCAAATTAAGCTTCTGAGTTTGTAATCTTTAATAATGTTAATCTTTATCTGATTACTTCACTAAAGTGGTGTCAGGGTTAATTATCGCTTAATCTAAATTAACTTTGGTTTAATAAATTGTAGCTAGTTTCATCTTTAAAACATTTATTATTGTGGTTAATTATTGAAAGATGAAGGAATTAAACAAGATATTTCATAAAGTATTTTAGACAGTGACACATCTAGGCACCCTTTTCAGCTAAGCTAATAAAATTAACTTAGGAAACAAGCCTCCTGATTAGAGTTATTATTGTGGCATCCTAAGGTTCTCTTTGCTTTCAAACTCAGTTTATTTAATTTTTTTAAAACTATTCCACTAAAAGTGACTGTAGCAGACTTTATGGATGACAAGAGATCACGAGGAAGATCGAAGATCTCGTGGATTGGATGTGTTGAAAAAGACGCTAGATTCCTTAATATCCCGAACTGGCAGAAGGTTTCTAAGGATAGATCTGTCTACGACGATCTCTAAGCGCGGCAATGGGCCTACGTGCGTCCCAGCCAAGGAAGTAATTAAGTAAGTATTCCAATTTTCTGAGATTGTAAGTTCTGTGTCACGCGCGAAAATATAAATGCTATGTTCAGTTTTTAAACTAAAAGTCACTAGACTGTAAGTTTTTTGTGCATTTTCTTAGAGACAAAAAAGATTGTTGATCATTTATATTGGCAATGACTTCCAAGCAGCTGCCGCTTGATTCTAATTATGCTATCAACCCGGTTTTCGGGTGGCAATCATTTCAATGAACTTCAATGTGTGCCGACCGGGTTTTATTGAATTTTTAAACACAATCTTGAGTTTTACGAGTTAAGCCTGAAGAGTAAATTCTTCAGTTTTTCGATTCTTGATCTAAGAAGAATTTAAAATTTGTTTTCCTATGTTTTAAAAACCTGATCACTAAAATTACATTCTAAAAAGTTCTTTAAGTATATGCATTCGTTTGTTACGTGTTAGTGCATTCTGATTTTAAAATATTTCATAAGCATTAAAAGTTTATTAACTTCAAACATTTTAATTTATTTGAATGTGGATAGAATCAGTTGCCTTAAGTAATTAGCTTCCGAGGATCAATCCCTAGACATTAAATAAATTTAAACCCTGTTCACTATTAAATAAAACATAATGCAAATATTTTAGTTTATTTGAAAAGATGTTTGCGCACACAAGTGTAAAGTTTTTAATTCATTTCTTTTCATTCTTATTTTCAGTTGTAAAATTAAAAGCAGACGAGTCGGCAGAAGAAAATAAATAACGTAAGTTTTTTGTGCATTTTTAAGTGATGATAGAAATTTTTGCAGTTTTTCGGTTCTTGAATTTGATCTGCAAAATGACATTCTAGAAGGTTATTATTAACAATTTAAATATATTCATTTGCTGGTTTTGTGGATTCTGATTTAATATATTTTATGAGCTATGAGAGTTTATTGACTTGCAGTTTTAATTATTCAGTTGGTCTGTTGATTATATTTCAAGAACATTGACTTATCCACTGCATTAAAATTTGATAAAATGAAAAAGTAGAATTAAAAATAATGAAGAACTCTTTAAGTCCGAATAACACAAGTTGGTTAATTGATTTAATCGAGAGCAATGCCAGAGTCATGCGGGCTTGCTGCAGGCTTTCTAATTCGGGAAGATTTGAGAGTTTGAGTTCTCATTGAATCAAACTAAAGACATCACGTAAAAGTGATTAAAATATTTCTGGCCGATTTTTTAATAACTTACCCACAGTGGTCTTACTCTAGCAGATGCCTACAAATGGCTTTGATTTCAATCTGACGCAATTTTTAACCTTTTGTATTTTCGTTATTAACTAGAATTCTGTTGGAATTTGAGCTATAAAAATAAATCTGCAGAATTCATAAGAATTCTTTTTTTCTCGTTTTTAAACCATGACTCTCAAATATTCTAACCATATTGATTTTTATTGACGTATTTTTTAATTGAAGCATAGCTAAGAAGCTTTACTGACGTGTCTTGACGAGATGAACTGTATAGAAGTTCGAGGTGCTAGAAAAGACTACGACAGCAAAAATCATGTCTTGAGTGGGTTAAATCTGACAATTCAAACAGGTTCAATGTGAGTAAATGCAAATCAAATAACTTATAAGTCTCAAGACATTTTATATTTTGCGAAGTTCAGATATAGTCTCATTGGTGCATCAGGATGTGGAAAGACAACACTATTAACATGCATTCTTGGAATGAATCAACTTGATGACGGAACAATTAAGATTCTCGGACATGAAGTTTCGGTTGATAAGCCATCAAAATTTCCGCAACTTATCGGTTACATGCCTCAACAAACATCCCTAGTTCCAGAATTAACCGTCAATGAAACATTAAGTTATTTTGGAAACATTTATCAAATGAATCAAGTTTTATTGAAGCAACAAGCGAAATTCATCTGTGATTTATTGGAACTGAATGACGTTAATAAGCAAGTTAACCAACTTTCTGGTGGCGAGAAGAGACGAGTTTCATTTGCTGCTGCTTTAATACATAATCCAAAAATTGTCATTCTTGACGAGCCAACAGTTGGACTAGATTCAATTCTTCGTGAGAAAATATGGACATTCTTAATTGACTCAACAAAATCCTCAAATATGTCTGTGATCATTACAACTCATTATATTGCAGAAGCAGAAAAGTCAAATTGCTGTGGATTAATGAAAAATGGGAAGTTAATCATAGAAGACAGTCCACAGAATATTTTTAAAAGTCTTGGCGTTTCTAACCTTGAAGAAGCTTTTTATAGGTTATGTTTATTAAAAAATGAAGATGCTGATCTCCAACCAAGCTGCAGTTCTATAAAAATGCAACAAATAGACCAAATACCATTAGCAGATGATGAAAAATTGAAGAATTTTGTTAATACTAGAAAAAGTTTTTATGGTCCGACTCTAAAGGCGCTGTTTAGGAAGGAAATGCAAAGAATACGAAGACAACCAGGGTAAATGCTCTTTGGGATTGTTCACTTATAATAACGCTTGTAAAACGGAAAGTTGAGATAGTGAGTTTAAAAAGGGCTTTTTTGCGTTCTTTAATAAGTGAACAACATCTTTTCGAGATCGTTAGAATCCAAACTTAATAACTTAAACTTCTTTTTTAGGGAAATTACATTTACAATTTTACTTCCGGTTGTTCAAGTCATCTGTTTTGTATTTGGAATGGGAGGCAATCCAATGGGATTGCGGTTAGGCATTGTCAATTATGAAGTCACAGATCAAACAATCTGCTCAGAATACTTACATTCAACAAATTACGAACTTAACAGCACATCATGTTCCTTTCAACGTCTTTCATGCTATTTCTTAAATGAGATACAAGATGAAAGTGCAATTAAGGTTTACTATGACTCACTCGAAGAAGCTTACAGAGGAGCAAAAGCTGGAAAGACATTCGGATTTTTAACAATCTCTTCAAACTTTACAGGCGTGATTAATGAGAGGAAGAATGATTGGCAATATATCACTGAATATGAAAACTTTACAGACGCAAACTTGATACAGATTCATTTGGACGAAAGTGATTATACAATTTCATTATTTCTGCATATTAGGCTGATAAAAGCTTTTGAGAGATTCAACAAGAAAGTTCTTCGGGATTGCGATTTGAATGATAAGCTGGAAGACATTCCTATGGAAATAAATACTCTTTATAGACGCCTCGAAGACGACAATATTGCAACTGGAATGCCGGCACTATTTTCACAGTTGAGTATACCTTTTACTTATTGTCTGTCACTTTGGATTGCCACTTATTTTAATTGAGAATGCAGCTGTTAACATAGAGCTTTATAAATTCTTATACAATTTTCAGAGTTTTGCTGCTTTGTGGAATCCTTTTCTCCATTTCATCGATCAGTCAATCTCGAATTGAAGGTATCTGGAATCGAACAATCCTGGCTGGAGTAACAACTTCAGAAATCTTGGCAGTTCAATTATTCATACAATTAATCAATGATATCTTTCAAGTTGTTGTCTTCAAATTATTATTTAAAGTTTTATTTGATATTAAAATAGAAGGAAATGATTTACTGCTTGGAGTAATTTATCTACTTTTATGCATTGCTGGAAGTTGCATTGGATTATTTGTATCACTTCATACAAATAATTTTGCTGTTGTCAATAGTGCTGGAACTTTAGTATTTTTCACGTGTGGCGGTTTATGTGGTGGATTTTGGTAAGTTTATGATTTTAATGATAAATTTATGTGCTTAAATTATTTGAAATTGTAGGCCAATTGAAGGACAGCCACAATTCATGAGATATATCTCTGCTATTTTACCAACAACAATACCAACTGCAGGCATAAGAAATATTATTATTAAAGGATTTACAATAACTCATTACACTGTTTATGGAGCAATTTTATTACTATTTGGATATATTATAATTTTTTTGGCTGTCAGCATCTTGTCATTAAGAAAAAGGAAATTTGCATAGAAGTTTACTTAATTATCATGTTATCTCACCTAAAAAAAGTCAGTGGAAGAAAAAGACTAAATTTAAAGCAATAGAGCACAACTTCAATGCTTCAGGTTAAAGAAAAAATGAACCAATTTATTTGCGTACGATACAAATTTTATTTACTCAAAATTTGTCTGTTTTAACTTTTTAAGCTATAAATAAAGTTTTATTAAACAATACCTAGTTCTCTGTTATTATTTAATCAATATTTCATTTATAGTTCCAAATATTTTATTTCATTTCAGAGAAAACAGAGAAAAAGACGAGAGTTTGTAACAAAAGGTGGAGAATTTTCGATTAGCGTCATCACTAAACAACGTCATTGATAAACATTTTATTGTTTTCTTGTGTGACAAATAAAAATATTCTAAACTCGATCATCAAGTTCTATGTGGCGATTAAAAATACAGTAAACGACCTTGAAAAAATATTTAAACAAAAACAGGTATGTATCCAGAAATTTTTAAGGAAAGGAGGAAGGGGGAAATTGTCTTTGTTTTTTAAACAGACACAAAAAATAGGAATTAGGATTCATAGCCTTTAGACATTAAAGGAACTTTTCCAAAAGAAAGGTGAAGGTTTAACCGGTAATAACAGTTTGAAGATCCATGAGTATTTTCACGAAATTCTTACGTCACTACATCCGAACAGATCACTTGCATTTGCATAATAAGGTTGTCTGTTTTTATTTCTCAAAAAAATATTTAATTTTCCTCTTCTCCCAGCAAGTTTTCAGTTGAAATTTCAATCCCAAACGAACAACATACTGTTTTGGAGTAAGAATTTATTTAAAACTAAAGAATAAAAATTTTTAAACAGTGACTTGACTTCATACTAGCAGTGACTTGTGACTAAACAATTCAAAGATTTAAAGCTAATTACGGATTACGTCTAAAACGTTTAAAAATTTGCAAACCTCTTTGCTAAACATTTCATCAGAACTTATCTTTCTTACACATGCACTCCTCATTTAAATGAAATCTACCCCGGTCGGCACACATTAAATTCAGCTAATTAAACTATCAACCCAGTTGCCAGGCGGCAAACATTTCAATGTGTGCTGATCGGGTGGTTTAACTTAATGTTCGAAATATTATTCCATATTGCAGAATCAACATAAAAAATTTGCGGTCCCTAAAATAATTCGATTAAGGAAATGAATAGTATCGAAGTAAGAGGCGCAACATTAAGCTATGACCAAAAAAATCCAGTTTTAAATGGATTAGATTTGACTGTTCAAACAGGTTCCATGCAAGTATTTACAAATATTCGGGAATCTCCGGAATCTCCCAAAAATTGAATATTTAAATAAAATACGTAAAAACTTCTTGTTTTCTTTCATAGCTATGGCTTGATTGGTCCATCAGGATGTGGAAAAACTACATTGTTGTCATCAATACTAGGAATGAAGCAACTTGATAGTGGAACAATAAAAGTTCTTGGACAAAAAGTTGTGTATGAAAAATCATCGAAATTTTCAAACATGATTGGATACATGCCACAAGAAACAGCATTAGTTCCAGAACTGACAATTAAAGAAACTTTAAATTATTTTGGAAATATTTATCAAATGAATCAAATTTTATTGAAACAGCGACTTATCATGATTTGTGATTTATTAGAACTGAATGATGTCAATAAGCAGGTTAATCACCTTTCTGGTGGTGGAAAAAGACGAGTATCATTTGCTGCTGCTTTAATTCATGATCCTAAAATTTTAATTCTTGACGAACCAACAGTTGGACTTGATTCAATTCTCCGTGAGAAAATTTGGACATTCTTGATTGACTCTACAAAATCCTCAAATATGTCTGTGATCATCACAACACATTATATTGCAGAAGCAGAAAGATCAAACTACTGTGGATTAATGATTAATGGTGTTTTATTGGCAGACGATCATCCAAAAAATATTTTAGCAAAATTCGGTGTTCTTAATCTTGAAGAAGCTTTTCTAGCTTTGTGCTTATCAAAAAAATCTAAAGCAGAAGGCTGTGCTAGTAATGGAGTCCATTTCCCAAACTCAGCAAGCACATTTGATGGTTCGAATTCAATCCATGCAGATGACTCGAGTAATTCAACAAAAATAAATGAAAATATAATTGTTGAACTAGACAAGCGAAAAACTTTCTCAGGACAAACTTTCAGGGCACTTTTTAAGAAGGAAGTGATAAGAATACGTAGACAGCCTGGGTATGTATAATGACCGGCTATTCAATACATTTTTGAAACATTAAACAGTTGTTCTCACTTTGGAAAGTAATTGTATGAAGATATAGTGACTTAAGTGTTAAAACTTGAGCTATTAAAGAAGTCATTTATTTGGATGGTGTGCGTGCGAGTGCCACATCGGTGAAACCTTGAGATTCTCATGCGTTTATAAGCTTAAAGACCAATGAAATCTCCACCATTAATTCTTTTGACACCAGTGGTTCTCAAACTTTTAATAGCACGAAACATTAATTAAAGAAAATTTGCTGTGTCTCCATACAAATTACGATACACCAAGGAGCTTAGCCAGGAGGGTCTTGTCCCCCTCTTAAGCATTTTAAGCTGTGCTCTCGCTACGGTTCAAAACGTTTAAGGGGGGGGGGGACAAGACTCTCCTGGCTACGCACCTGGATACACCTGAGTATTAAGACACAGTAGTGTGTCGCAAACTTTATAGTTTGAGAAGCTTATACCAAAAAAAAATTAATTCTTATTTTCTTTCTAATTTTTTAGAGAAATTTTCTTCACAATTCTATTTCCATTAATTAAAGGCATTCTCTTTATTTATACAATGGGAAAAAATCCAAAAGGACTTTCAATAGGTGTTGTCAATAATGAAATATCCGACATCAATTATTGTTCAGAATATTTAAAATCAACAAATTATGAATTCAACAATAGCTCATGCAACTTTGAAAATCTATCGTGCTATTTTCTGAATGAAATTCGAGACGACACGGCAGTAAAAATCGGTTACAACTCTTTTGATGAAGCTTATAAATCTGCAAAAGCAGCAAGGATTTATGGATTCTTATCAATTGCTTCAAACTTTACAGAAGCTATAACCAAAAGGAAATCTGATTGGCAAGCATTGACTGACGATGTCTTTCTAGACCAAATTGATGTTTATTTAGATCATGAAAATTTGCAAATTGCTTCATTTTTAAAGCTCAGACTTTTTAAAGCTTTTGAAAAATTTAACAAAAAACTTTTGCAGCAATGCGATTTAAATGAAAAATTAGAGGATAGTCCGATGTCGATTGAGACTTTTTATGGAGATTTCGATAGTGATTATGTCAAAACTTTGATTCCAGCGCTATTCATACAGTTGAGTATTCAAGTCTTAAATGGGCATTTTATGGCAATAGCATTAATTATTCTCCATTTTAGGGCAATTCTGCTAAGTGGAATTCTATTTTCACTTTCATCAATCGCTCAAAGTCGTACTGGAGGTGTTTGGAATCGAACAATCATAGCTGGAGTTACAGTTTCGGAAATTATATCCGTGCAATTCACACTGTTATTTATATCAGACATTGTTCAACTTATTGTCCTTAAAATAATAACAGCTACTTTATATGATGGTGAAATAGTTGGTAATCAATGGATTCTTGGATTTTTTTGCCTAATGGTCTACATGACTGGAAGCAGCATTGGAATATTTGTCTCAATTCTTACAAATAATTTACTGATTTTAAATACTGCTGGAATGGTAATATTTTTCTTTGGTGGAAGTTTGTGCGGTGGAATGTGGTAAGTATTTAAATCTAATTAGTAATAAACTCTATTTTATGCTGTCTTTATAATCCACAGGCCAATCGAAGGACAGCCTAAGTTTCTTCAATATTTGTCAGTCACTATACCGACCACTTTACCAACAGTTACGGTTAAGAATATCATCGCTAAAGGATTCGATATGTCACATGAAACAATTTATGGTGGATTTGCGTTACTAGGAGCATATATAGCCACGATGCTAACTCTATCATTTTGGTCATTAAAGAGGACTAAATTTACAGAACAGCACTAAATTAGTTATGAAACTGAATCTATGATTTTAAGACAGCTGTCTCAAATGAACTCTCGACAGTTCAAAAAGAGAAAAATTTTTCTATCCAAATTCCAAATTTGTGTCAAAGTTATGTTTTGTTAAGTTAATAGTGAACGGTTCAGGGTGATCTATAGCAACAAACTATGATCTATTCAAGGATTTGAGCCATTTCTTCAGTTTCAAATCTGTTAAACTAATTTAATAAAGTAAAATTAATCGAATTCTAATTGTATGAATAAAATAATAAAAGCGTGTAAAAAACATTCAAAAAACTCAAAATAAACAATTTGTAAAAAGTCAATTAGCCATAATGCGTTTCTTTTTAAGCAAGAGAAAAGGAAAATAACGATAATTATAGTAAAATTAAGCTTATTAATTAGTCAACCAAGCAGAAAAAAAGGCGTGGTGATTAGAGTGTTGGCCAACCAACCCTAACGACCCGGGTTCAATCCCAGAGATTGTTCTAGTAAATCACTCTTATTATTTACGTTTTTAATAAAGTCACGTTATTCAAAGATTTAATCTCTTTCATATTATTTCTAAACATTCTTATGCAAATCAAGTATTGATGAAAGAACTTGTTACTGACCTTTTTTATAAATTTCTGTTTAAGAGCTTAGTTTCCTAAGTGTTGACAAAAATTCACAAACCGCATGGCTATTGACATCACCAGACACAAAAAGAATTGAATCGATGTAAATAACACCAAATGAGTGAATGGACTGACATTATTCAAAAAGGCAATCACGCTACGTTAAATAAATTACCAGTCAATAACAATTAATTAATTGCAATACACATTTTGACCCTATTTTATTGAAATTCTGATATATGACTATGAAAAATTGCATAAAATGTCATCATACAACAACAAGCAGCACGCTTTATTTATATTAGTCAACAAATAAAAATATTTTTCATTCTTACATTGTCTAATTAATACATTCTCGAGTTGCTGTCATTATATGAATTATTAAATTTTATTTAATTATTTAAATTTCAATCGGGCTAATTTGCAATACCAAAAATTTTGCGAGCGACTATAAAAGGCAGTGCAAATTTCTTTGGAAAGTTACACGTTTGTTAAGTGTCTTAACCAGTGCAATATAAAGAAAATCGGAGGACTTATTGTGATTTATTTATTTTTTGTGCTATATAAAGACTGTTGTGACTATACAAAACTATAAACTATTAATTTAAAGACTATAAAAATATATAAAAAGAAAATAATCAGTGAAAAAAATGGAAAATGGTGAAGATATTGTTATTTCGGGGGTATCGGGACGGTTTCCGAATTCGCGTAATTTGGATCAACTGAGTTATAATCTATTTAATAAAATTGATATGGTGGATGAAAAGGAAACGAGATGGCGTCATACAAATCCCGAAGTTCCACGTCGAATGGGTAAAACTTTGGATATTGAAAAGTTTGATGCTTCCTTTTTCGGTGTTAATTATCGTCATGCACGTACGATGGATCCGCAAGGACGAATCATACTTGAGCATGCATTTGAAAGTATTTTGGATGCAGGAATATCTCCAAAGACATTAAAGGGCAAAAATGTTGGTGTTTTCATCGGTGCTAGTTATAATGAGTCAGAAATGAAGTGGATTTACGAAAAGTTTTCCAAGGACGGTCTTGGAATTGTCGGGTCCGCAAGAGCAATGCTTGCCAATCGAATTTCATTCTCACTTGGATTTATCGGACCAAGCTTCACTCTCGACACTGCTTGTAGTTCATCTATGTATGCTTTGGATATTGCTTATAAATTGTTAAAATCTGGTGAAATTGAAGCAGCTTTAGTCGGTGGAAGTAACTTGTGCCTTCATCCTCACATAATGCTGCAATTTATTAGACTCGGTGTTGTTTCCAAAGACGGCTATTGTAGACCATTTGATAAAAATGCTTCTGGATATACAAGAGCTGAAGCTAGCTGCATTTTCTTCCTGCAGAAACGGAAGAATGCAAAGCGAGTCTATGCTACAGTTTTACATTCAAAGACTAATTGTGATGGATTCAAGGAGGAAGGAATCAATTTTCCAAGTCATCATCTTCAAGCTCAATTAATGAAAACATTTTATGAAGAAGTTGGAATTGCACCGAATGACTCAAATATTGGATATTTTGAGGCTCATTGTACTGGCACTAAGGTTAGTTGTTTATTGAATTTAGTGTAATTTTTTGAAACATTGGCATCGATATATCGTCCGTGAACTCGAGATTTGACAGCTTTAAGTAATTAAATTTGCTTTCAAACAGGTTGGGGATCCAGAAGAATGTCGTGCAATTGAAGAAGTCATGTGTAAGGGTCGTAAAGGCCCATTACTAGTCGGATCTGTAAAATCAAATATGGGTCATGCTGGTAAATATTGAAAAATTTAATTTAAAATAGTCAAGATAACAAATTTCTTCAAATTTTCAGAACCTGGTGCTGGCGTTTGTTCAATGAGCAAAATCTTACTCGTATTGGAACATGGGAAAATTCCTCCAAATATTAACATAACGGAAATTAAGCCTGAAATAGCAGGTATTATGGAGAATAAAATGAAAGTTGTTCAAGAAGTGACTGACTTAAAAGGAACAATGATCAGTTGTAACTCGTTTGGATTCGGTGGAGCCAATGCTCATGCCTTGTTTAAAGCCAATCAAAAACTTAAAGTTAATCGTGGAATTCCAAAGGATAAAGTTCCAAGGATTGTCACATGGTCAGGTCGTACAGAGGAAGCAATCAAAGCTGTTATGGATAGTGTTACAAAGCAGCCACTTGATGCTGAATATATCGGATTGCTACACAATTCTCAACGCGAATCTATCAATGCTAATTTATATAAAGGTTATGGTATTTTCAAGCAAGGCAATGACACTGAAAATGCAACTTGTGTTAGAAATGAAACTCAACATTTTAGTGGATTCAAAAGACCAATGGTGTGGGTTTATACTGGAATGGGATCTCAATGGTGTCAGATGGGTGTACATTTAATGAAAATTCCAATGTTTGCTAAATCAATTGAAAGGAGCCACAAACTTTTAGCAGATCGAGGACTAAATTTGAAGCAAATAATCACATCACCAGATCCGAAAATATTCGACAACATTCTAAATTCATTTGTTGGAATAGCTGCAATTCAAGTAGCCTTGACTGACATTTTGAAGGCTTTAGAATTAACACCTGATCACATTATTGGGCATTCAGTTGGTGAGCTTGGTTGTGCTTATGCTGATGGTTGCTTCACTGCTGAGGAAACAATTATATCCGCATATTCTCGTGGACTTGTAAGTCATGAGACAAAAGTTATTCACGGATCTATGGCTGCTGTTGGCTTAGGATATGCGCAGTTAAAGGATATTGTTCCTGAAGGAATTGAAATCGCTTGCCATAACTCATCAGAATCATCAACAATTTCAGGACCTGCTGATAAAATTGCAGCATTTGTTGAATCATTGAAGGAAAAGAAGATTTTTGCAAAGGAAGTTGAATGTTCGCATATTCCTTACCACAGCAGTTATATTAAAGATATGGGCCCAATTCTGTACAAACGTCTCAAAGAAGTTATCAAGACAAACAAGAAACGATCAAGCAAATGGATAACATCAAGTGTACCAGCATCCCAGCAACATATCGAATACTATCAATCATCTTCAGCTGAATATCAGATCAACAACTTAGTCAATCCAGTTTTGTTTGAGGAAACTCTAGCTCAGCTACCAAAAAATGCTATTTTAATTGAAATTTCACCACATGGCTTATTGCAAGCTATTTTAAAAAGGTCAATGGTTGAGTCAATCAATATTCCATTAACACAACGAGGAAATAGTAATAATGACGAGTTTTTCATGAGCGCCTTGGGAAAGTATGTCAATTATTTGTTATTCAAATTAATCGGGGAATTCTTGAAATTTTTATAATGACAAATTGGATTGAATTAAGGTTTTAGTTATTTATTTCAAGGATTTCTGATGTCTCAGCCTTAACAGATTTTCAGAATGTGTTTAAGACTTTCCAGGAAATGCTCTTTATTAATAATAATTTCATTTCTACTTCTTAGAATTTTCTGCAACGGATTTGACATCAACGTTTCAGCACTTTATCCAGCTGTTGAATTTCCTGTATCTCGTGGTACTCCAATGATTTCACCAAACATCAAGTGGGATCATAGCGATGATCATTATGTTATGCGTTTTGATGACAAGGATGACGGAAAGAGCTCGTCCAGGAAAGTCACAGTTTCATTGAGCGAACTTGAGTATGAGTTCATTCAGGGTCATTGTATTGATGGTAAATATTTTGATTCTGAGTAATTTAGTGTTTAATTTGAATGTGTGCTGTTTGTGAATATATGATTAATGTCACACATACATCAGCTGGAGATTAGCTTAAGGAAACTTACTAAACTTCATTTATTTATATTTTGTAGGACGATGCATCTTCCCAGCAACTGGCTATTTATTCTTAGCATGGGAAACATTGGCAATGATGAAGGGTCTTTTATACTTTGACATCAGTGTTGAGTTTGAGGATGTTAAATTCCACCGAGCAACATCAATGTCGAAAGAATCAGATGTCGAGTTTACAATTGTGGTTCATCCAGGAACTGGAAGATTTGAGATTTCTGAAGGTACATCCTCACTTGTTACTGGAATGATAACAGAAGTTGACAATCCAAAAATGAAGGACATCAAAGGTTCAGTTGATATTTCATCAAAGTCATTGTTGAGTAGCAAAGATTTCTATAAGGAACTTCGTCTTCGTGGATATCATTACAATGACTTATTTAGGTCTGTAACTGAAGGAAGTTTTGATGGGACATACGGAAAAATTATTTGGGATTCTAACTGGATAGCGTTCCTTGATTGTTTACTACAACTTAAAATTATTGGTAGAGATACAAGATCATTAGTTCTTCCAACTGGAATTCAAAAAATGACAATCAACACTAAAAAGCATTTAGAAATTCTGACAAAATTTGAAGACGGAGTTCAGCCAGTTTATGAAGCTTTCATCAATCCAGAACTAAAAGCAATTTCTTGTGGTGGAGTTGAAATCGTAAATATGCAAGCAAGCGTTGTTGGGAGACGAAAGCCTCCAGGAATTCCAGTCCTCGAAACTTATGAATTTATTCCTTACAACTCATCGAAGACAATCTTAACTATGAATGATGCTTGCCGTGTTATTTCTCAACTTTATATCGAAAACAATCCATCGACCATTGTTAAAGTTGTTGAAATTGATGGAAATGATGATAAGAATATGATTCTCGAGGACATGTTGGATGCACTGTCAGATTTACCGCTTATTACTACAGACTTGAAATATTTATCATCACGAACAATTGAACAATCTGATGACATCAAGGTTCTAAATGAAACTATTGACGACCATGAAGATTGTGGAATCATAATAGCTTCCAATGGAGATAGCAGCTATTCCAATAAATTGAGTAATGGTGGATTTCTAGTAATTCGAGGAGAATGTCAAAGCAATGACAAAAAATTGAAGAAAATTTCAACAATTCAGACTGAAACAGAAGTGCTGTCAATATTCCAAAAGACCAGAGAGGAGAACGAGAAAGAACCAGAAATTTATTTCATATCTGAAAAGGATTCTGAGCTCAAATGGATAAAAGACGTGCAAGCTTTAATTCAAAAGGGTCCTCTGGTTCTGGTAACAGAAAATGAGCCTACATCAGGTCTTATTGGATTAGTAAACTGTTTGCGAAGAGAACCTGGCGGTACCTCAATCCGATGTGTTTTTATTGACGACCGAAAAGCCTCCAAATTTGATCTCAAACATCCTGTTTATAGAGATCAGCTAGAACTGGGACTTGCAATTAATGTTTACAGAAGTAAAAGCTGGGGTAGTTTCAGGCATCTGAAAATTAATCCAGTCTATGTTGAACAACCAGCACTTGGTCATTGCTATGGAAACTCACTAGTAAAATCAGACTTGTCATCCTTAAAATGGTTACAAGGTCCTTTAGAACTTTCAGATGAAAACATTGTTCGAGTTCATTATGCATCCTTAAACTTCAAAGATGTCATGTTGGCAACAGGAAAAATTTCTGCAGATGTCTTTGTTGAAAGCAGAATCGGTCAGGAATGTGTCTTAGGATTTGAATATTCTGGAATCGACAGAAACAATAAACGACTTATGGGACTGATAAAAGCTGGATCTTTAGCATCATACATATCCAAAGATCCATTATTATCCTGGGATATTCCAAATAATTGGACGTTAGAGCAAGCAGCAACTGTTCCTTGTGTGTATGGAACTGTGTACTATGCATTCTTTATAATAGCTCAAATTAAGCGTGGAAGAACAATTCTCATTCATGCTGGTACAGGTGGAATTGGATTAGCTGCTATTCGAGTTGCGTTTGCTTATGGACTGGATGTGTTCACTACAGTCAGCACTGAAGAGAAGACAAATTTCTTGTTGAAAGAATTCCCAAAACTGAAAAGAGAAAACATTGGAAATTCTCGTGATACTTCATTTGAAGACATGATTATGAACCGAACAAGTGGTAAAGGTGTTGACTACGTTTTGAACTCATTGGCTGAAGAGAAGCTTCATGCATCAATCAGATGTCTTGGAAAGGGAGGAAAGTTTTTAGAAATTGGCAAGTTTGACATGGAAAAAGGAACGAAGATTGGAATGGAATGTTTCTTAAATGAAATATCCATTCACTCTGTTATGCTTGATAAGATTATGATCGGATCTGATGCTGACAAAATGGTAAGAACATCAATCATTCTAATTGAATTCGATTAGATACTAATCAAAAAATTATTTCAGGTATTGCGCAAAATTTTAGAGAACGACATCCATGCTGGAATCATCAAACCATTTAAAACAAATATTTTCCCAGCAAATCAAATCGAACAAGCGTTCCGGTTCCTAGCAAGTGGAAAGCATATGGGAAAAGTGATTCTCCAAATTAGAGAAAGAGAATCCGACAATTCAACTCTTCCGATCACAGTATTACCACGTGTTTATTGTCATCCTTACTTTACGTACATAATTTCTGGTGGTCTTGGAGGATTTGGTTTAGAATTGGCAGATTGGCTAGTATTAAGAGGATGCAGAAAGCTTGTATTGAGTTCAAGTCGTGGTATAACAAAGCAATATCAAGCATATCGTATGAAAAATTGGGAATCATATGGAGTCAGGGTCGTGGTCAACACTTCCAATATTTTAACAGAAGCAGGATGTGAGAAACTCATTTTAGACTCGAGAGTATTGGGCCCTGTCGGAGGTATTTTCAACCTTGCTGTTGTTCTACGTGATAGTATCTTTGAAAATCAAGATGCCACTAAATTTAATGAATCTATGACACCAAAAGCTGTTGCAACAAAATATTTGGATGAAATTTCTCGAGTTCTTTGCCCTGAACTTCAATATTTTGTTGTATTTTCGAGTGTGTCTTGTGGTCGTGGAAATGCTGGTCAAAGTAATTACGGTATGGCTAATTCAGTTATGGAAAGAGTGATGGAACAAAGACACAGTCTTGGATTACCAGCTAAAGCTATTCAATGGGGTGCTGTCGGTGAAGTTGGATTAGTGGCTGATATGCAAGAAGATCTTTTGGATATGGAAATTGGTGGAACTCTACAACAAAGAATTTCATCGTGTTTGGAAGAGCTCGATACATTGATGACTGTGAAAAAACCTATTGTTGCTAGTATGGTTGTTGCTGAAAAGCGATATGCATCATCAAAATCTGGCAATGTTTTCGAAGTCATTCTTAATATTATGGGTATTCGTGATGCTAAGTCTGTTTCAATGGAAACAACGTTAGCTGAATTAGGTATGGATTCATTGATGCTAGTTGAAATTCAGCAGACACTTGAACGTGAATACAATTTTGTCATTACGGCTCAAGACTTAAGATCAATGACTTTAAACAAATTGATTGAAAGTGTTGGAAGCAAATCGGTTGCTGAGAATGGAAAAGAGGAAGTTGGTGTTAATATTTTAATCAGGAATCTTGGAAATGAAGCCAACAGTAAAGAAACTTTAATTTGTTTATCCGAGAAGAAAAATACAAATCGATTGAATCTATTTTTCCCTGGAGTTGAAGGTTGTGGAGGTGATGTATGGAAGCTGATTGCGAATCGAATGACTGGATCTTCTTTTATGTTCCAGCACAAGAATGTCACGAAAGTCTCCTCAGTCAATGAGTTTGTAAATGAAATTTATTCAAAGGTTTCAAATCTCTTCAATCAATTTGCAGACATTCGTCTCATTGGATATAGTTTCGGTTCAATTATTGTCCTTAAACTTGCAGATATGCTTGAACAGCAAAATAAAGTTCCAAAAGTCACATTAATAGATGGATCTCCAATTTTCCTCAACACATTAGTCCGAGATCATTTGGTTACTAATAATTTTGAGGAAATTATTGAAACATTGATTCTTAAGACGGTCGTGGAAGGAACTGTCCGAGGTGAGAATTCAAAAGTCATTCACATACTTCAATCAAATCTTTCTCTTGTCGAGAAAATAAGTGCGTTAGTAAATGAAATTGACGGATTGAAAATTTACTCAGAAAGTCATATAGCTGAAATGATTAAAGTCATTCTGGACAGATCTCGCTTAATATACAATCTAAATATAAATGATTTTAATTCATTAAATAAAGTTAAAATAAAACTTATCAGACCACAAAGTTCTGCATTGAAAAATCTCGAAAATGATTATGGCCTAACCAGGTATTCAACTCAACCTATTGATGTAAAATTTGTAAATGGCGATCATCTTTCAATGTTAGACACAGACGACTTTCGAAATATATTAAGCGAAGATTTATAAAACAATTCAAATTGAGGTTTATTAGCCTCATAGCTATAATTATTGCATTTAGAGTGTTTGATTACTTAAAATCACAAAGTTCCTCCGTTTTCTATTAACAAGCAAATTCCTATAATTAAGCTCTCTGAAAAAATATTAAATGCATTTAAACAATTTAGTGTTAGAATAGTTTTAGTTTAGTGTTAAGTCCTAAAGTCCTACATAACAATATCATTACCATAAGCATATCATTAAATGTTGAATAAATTTAATTTAATCAAAAAAAGTTTTTTATTTCATTATAATTACTTAAGCAACCACCTTTACAGTTATATATCCCACATCCATTAGAAATCACAATATTCCATTAAATTAAATTGTGCTTCTTGAAGGAAGCTTTAGACTCCAAAGCAGGATCATTTTCGTTGATTATCTGCACGAGTTTTGGATTTTCAAGCATCGAGAAGTGATTCCCTTCAATGTACTTGATTGAAATTATTCCATTTGTTATTTTATGCAATCCATAATCTTCCTCAACATCCACAATTGAAATTTCTGTTGGTCGAATTAATGTCACTGGTGATTTCATCATATTTTTCGGGTCATGTTTATAATTCAAAACCATTTTAATTCTTTGGAATAAGCAATTAGCCATTAAACGTAAATAATCAGTACTGTAGATATATTGATCCTTAGCCATTTCCATAAGTCTATCAACTCTATCTTCCCATGTTGGATTATTAGCCATTATTTGAAGAACGTCAGCCTTTTCATCGGGATAAACAGTTCTTAAAACGCCTGCTAATAAAACAGTTTGTACAGCTTCATCCGAATCAGTCATTGGCATTTGGTCAACGACTAATTTTTTAAGGAATGTCGGTGCTCCATCTATTAATAATAATTTACCCTTTTTACCACCACGTTCCAACATTTTTGTTAATTCTATTGCAACCATTGCCCCAAATGAATAACCAACAATATAGAAATTTTCTTTTGTTTTGTCGAAGACAGTCTCAATGATGTCATCATAAACGAATTGTGTGACATCATTGACATTTTCCAAATCTTTCGAGTTCATAAGTTGCAGCATATAAGATGGTAAAGATAATCCATTTGCAACACTTCTCCAAGCATTTCCAGCAACACCTTCAATACCAGGAATTAAAAGAACACTTGAAGTATGCTTTGTGCTGTTGTCTTGTGAAATGAGTCTTAAAATAGTTTGATTTGATGTTTCTTCATCACCCAAATTTCGAAGCATAAGTTCAACACCGACTGGAACATCGTCACTGGCAAATTTAGTTTTTGCACTTTCAATTTCAACAGTTTCTGATGCAGCCATTAGTTCTTGCAATTTTCTAAATGTTAAAGATCTTAAGTCTTGTGGTGACAAGAAAAGTTCATATTCTCGTTCCAACATTTGACGAATTTCAACACCCATTAAAGAATCCATACCGATTTCTGATAATGTTGCATCCATTGATACAGATTTCATTTCACGAATTGACATTATGCTCATAACAGCTTCAATTACACTAAAACCGGCACCGACCTTTGCCTTTTTCTCAGCTACAACCATACTAGCAACTATTGGGTGATTGACAGTCAGCAATGTATCAAGTTCTTCCAAGCATGATGAAATTCTTTGTTGTAGAGTTCCACCGATTTCCATATCCAAAAGATCTTCTTGCATATCAGCCACTAATCCAACTTCACCGACAGCACCCCATTGAATAGCTTTAGCTGGTAATCCAAGACCGTGTCTTTGTTCCATCACTCTTTCCATAACTGAATTAGCCATACCGTAATTACTTTGACCAGCATTACCACGACCACAAGATACACTCGAAAATACAACAAAATATTGAAGTTCAGGGCAAAGAACTCGAGAAATTTCATCCAAATATTTTGTGGCAACAGCTTTTGGTGCCATAGATTCATTAAATTTAGTGGCATCTTGATTTTCAAAGATACTATCACGTAAGAGAACAGCGAGATTGAATATACCTCCGACTGGTCCTAATTTCATTGATTCTCGGATGAGTTCTTCACAACCTATCTTTGATGAAATGTCAGATGTATTAACAACAACTTTTACGCCATAATCTTGCCAAATTTTGATACGATATGCTTGATATTGCTTTGTAATACCACGACTTGAACTCAATACAAGCTTTCTGCATCCTCTTAATACTAACCAATCTGCCAATTCTAAACCAAATCCTCCAAGACCACCAGGAATTATATATGTATAGTAAGAATTGCAATAAGCTCTTGGTATAGCACTAATTGGAAGTGTGGCAACATCATTTTCATTTTCACGAATTTTTAGTAGAACTTTTCCAACATGTTTACCACTTGCTAGGAACCTGAATGCTTCAACTAATTCGCTTGCATTAAAAACTGTAGTTTTCAAAGGTTTAATTATTCCAGCCTGAATATCTCTTTCAACCAATCTTTGTAACACCATTTTCGCTTCATGATCTGCATGGAATAAATTATCCACTAAAACTGAATGAAAAGCTATTTCCTTTAAGAAAGAACCAAGACCGATTTTCGTGTCATTTGCTAAATCAAACTTTCCTATCTCCAAGAACTTTCCTCCCTTTCCAAGACATCGGATTGATGCATGAAGCTTCTCTTCAGCCAATGAGTTCAAAACGTAATCAACACCTTTACCACTTGTTCGATTCATAATCATGTCTTCGAAAGAAATATCACGAGAATTTCCAATGTTTTCTCTTTTCAACTGTGGGAATTCTTTCAACAAGAAATTTGTCTTCTCTTCAGTACTGACTGTAGTAAACACATCCAGTCCATAAGCAAATGCAACTCTGATTGCTGCAAGACCAACTCCACCTGAACCAGCATGAATAAGAATTGATTTTCCTTTTTCAATTTTGGTTGTAAGGAAAAATGCACTATAAACGGTTCCATAGACGACAGGAACAGTAGCTGCTTCTTCTAATGACCACTCATCAGGACAGTCCCAAAGTAATGTATCATCACCTTTAATATGAGTTGCTAAAGCACCAGAAGTTACCATTCCCATAACACGTTTTCCACTTTCATTGATTCCTGAAAATTCGAATCCCAATATACACAACTGATCTAATCTTCCAGTGCCAAAAACTTCTGCTGTTAACTTTCCAGTTGCTAACATTACATCACGGAAATTAAGTGAAGCATATTGAAGTTTAACGATATTACCATCTGGTTTTCCGTGGTTGTAAGGACCATGTAACCAAGTCAAAGACGAGAGATCTCCACGAACCAAGCAATTGGCATAACAGTGATCAATTCTTCTTCCTTCTTCTTTTACCGTTTCAAGTAATAAATGTCTGTAGCTTCCCCAATGTCCATTTTTAAACACATTTATAGCTAATCCCTGCTTCAAAAATGATTTATAGAAGTCATTATCAACATTAAACTTAGGAGATCGATAATCATCAATGAATACACATTTGAGATTTGTTCCATTCGGTTCTTTCCTTATACAATTGACAAGTCCCAATATTCCTGAGAATTCTTCCTTTTCTGAATATGCTAAGACTGGTCCTTCTTTAATAGCTTTCTTTAAGTCATTTATCCAATCGAGATTTTGAGATGTAACACGAATAACTTTTTGTGAATAACCAGGAATCTTCTTCTGACATTGAAGCATCACAATCGTTTCATTTTCTGTTGGAATTATTGCAATCAATTGATGTTTTGACGATAATTGATTGAGAACTGATAAATTAATCTCGTTTGGTTCTCTTGATATGATGAATCCATCATTTTGAACATTCCCTGAGATAGCATCTAGGAAGGTTTTATCTGATAGGCAATTGCTTCTGATCACCATAAATGCATTCTTATATGCATTTAATTTTGAATCACTAACAAGGACACTTCCAAAATCAATAGATTTTGAAGTAAGATAGTTCATTTCTGTAGTTACGAGAGGTAAATCACCATAAGCTGCAGCTAATATTTCTGACAGTGGATCTTTGCCATCATTTGCATCAATTTCAACAGAAAGGACTTTAGTTGTTGGTAAATTTTCAAGTGCTAATTGAACACAGAATCTCGCCATATCAACTTTATTCAAATATGGTGTTGGAAGATGTGGAATAAATTGATAAGTCTCAAGAACTGGAATGCCAGGTGGACGACGTCGAGCAACTGGATTTGCTTGTAATCCTCGAACTTCTATCCCGCCACATCTTAAAATATTTCGATTCTGATCTCTTAAAACTTCTAATGATATATCTTCATTTTCAAATAAATGAACAAATGTTTTATGAACATGTGGATTAATGGATAACATTTGAATTCCAGTTGGCAACAAAAGTGCTCGAGAATCTTGACCAATAATATAGATTTGAAGGAGACAATCCATAAATGCAATCCAATTTGCGTTCCATTTGACTCTTCCCAACATTCCATCGCCACGTGCTTGTTCAACTGATTTAAATAAGTTATTGTAATGATATCCACGTAAACGCAGTTCTTTATAGAAATCTTTTGTCAGTAATGTTGGATGACCATTTTCTTCAGGTCTATCAATTTCAGTTAATTTAACATTCTCGACTATTTTTACATAACCTGTTGCAAGAACACTTGTTCCTTCTGTAATCTCGAATCTTCCAGTGCCTGTGAATCAAACAAATGTCTTCATCTATTAATTCTAAATTATCGTTGTACTTACCATGTTGAATCATCACAATTAACTCAACATCTTGACTTTTGGGAAGTGCAGTAGCTCTAACAAATTTCACATCTTCAAAAATGACACCAACATCAAAATAATAAACTCCCATCATAAGACCAATTGTCTCCCATACGAAGTGAAGGTATGCTGTTGCTGGGAACAGAACTCGTCCTATGAAATTTCATGATAAAATTATAAGAACTAGCAAAATAGTTGAAAAATCTACCATCGATAGTATGTCCATTGATATAATCAAACTCTTGATCTGACAAATTAATGACAAGATGACGTTCACCACTGCGATTGGACTTCTGACTCTCAAAACGTGTTACAAACCTATCAACAAACATCTGATTACTATTATTGATTAAACTACATGATGTTAAGATTATTACCATTCCTCACTATGTTGCCATTTTATAAGCGGACTGATCATCGGAGTTCCACGTGATACAGGGAAAGACACAGGTGGATATAACTTACCAACATCCATGTCCACACCATTTTCATGTAATCTATATAAAAATTCAATTTTATGATAATTTTAAAGAATATTTCAAATGAGACTTACACTCCGAGTGAGCTCAAGAAGAATGTAGAGTTATTCTTATTTTCACGTTGAGTCAGACCTACATGTACAGCTTCTGGCATCGATTTTCTTAAAATTGCTTGAAGCAAACTATGAGGTGCGATTTCAATTGTAAGTGCATTCTTTGGAAGAAGACTCGAAGTTTCCTCAAACAAAACTGAGTTCAATAAATTGTTTGTGTGATAATATGCTGATGAATATTGTGCTTCAGGCAGATCCCACTTAACTTTTGGTACACTGGAACTTAGCCATTTATTGGATCTTTGTTTTGGCTCTTTTATGACTTCCGTGAGACGTTTTAGTAAGTTTGGTCCCATTTCAGCTATGTATTTGCTGTGATAAGGAATATTTGAACATGCTACTTCCTTTGCAAAAATATTTTTAGATTTAAGTTCTGCGACATAAGCAGCGATATTTTTTGCAGGTCCAGAAATTGTACATGAGTCAGCTGAATTGTGACAAGCAATTTCAATTCCTTCGGGAACCATTGATCGAAGCTTTTTATAACTTAATCCAACAGCAGCCATTGAACCAAACACTACATTTGTTTCAAGACTTGCCATTCCACGAGAATAAGCTGAAAGGATCATCTCTTCAGCTGTGAAGCATCCATCAGCATATGCACAACCAAGTTCACCAACTGAATGTCCAATAATAAAATCAGGCTCAATTTCTAATGCTTTAAGGATGTCTGTCAGAGCAATTTGAATTGCTGCAATTCCAACAAATGAATGCAAAATATTTTCAAACATATCTGGATACGAAGATGTAATTATGTCCTTTACATCTAGTCCTTTTGCAGCCAATATTTTATGACTCTTTTCGATGGATTCAGCAAACATTGGAATTTTCATTAAGTCAGCACCCATAGTGCACCATTGAGATCCCATTCCTGAATAAACCCACACCATTGGCCTCTTAAAAGTACTGTAATGCTTGACATCCTTACTTAAGCATGTTGCATTCGAAACTTGATCAGTCTGAGAAAAAACTCCATAACCACGATAAATATTAGCTTGATGTGATTCGCCAGCAGCACAATTATGTAACAGACCAATATATTCAGCATCTAATGGTTTTTGAACAATGCTATCCATAATTGTATTAATTCCTTCTTCAGTTCTACTTGACCATATGACAAGACGTGGCAAAGTATCAGTTGGTATTCCATGATTGACTTTCTCTTTGAGATTAGCTCTAAATAATGCATGAGCATTTCCTCCACCAAATCCAAATGAGTTGATGCTGATCAATGGACCAGTCAGATCTTCAGTCTCAGCTACAACTCTCAATCTTCCCGATTCTAATGACTCTAATCCAGGTCGAATTTCAACAAAATTTATATTCGGTGGAATTCTTCGATTTTCATACGACAATATCATTTTTGCTATCGAACATGCGCCAGCTGTACTTTCCGAATGACCCATATTTGACTTTACTGAGCCAACAGGAAGCGGCTTATCGCGACCCGTACAAAAAACAATATCCAAAGCGCGACATTCTTCAGGATCACCTAAAGTTTTAAAGGTTAAGAAGTTTAACCTTTTAAAATTATATAAAAATTTTACTTACCAACGATTGTGCCAGTACTATGAGCTTCAACATAATCGACAGAACTGGGTGCAATGTTGATATCATCATAGAATTCTTTTAACAATTTCATCTGCATTTTACCACTTGGATAAGTTATTCCTTCTTCTTTATAGCCATCACAATTGGTTTTTGAATAAAGAAGATTCGCATAGAAACGCTTAGCGTCTTTAACTTTCTGTATAAACATAACACAAATTGCTTCAGCTCTAGTATAACCAGAACCATCCTTATCAAATGGTCGGCAATAGCCATTTTGAGCTAATACACCCAAACTGTAAATTCAAAAATCAAATCTGATAATGTTCAAGTTTTGGATATAAATAACTTACCGAGCAAATTGTAATGTAACATAAGGATGAAGTAATAAGTTTGATCCACCAACAATAGCCGCTTCAATTTCACCATTTCGAATAGCATTAAAAGCACAGTCAAGAGCGTACATAGAAGAAGAGCAAGCTGTATCCAATAAAAATGAAGGCCCTGTTAATCCTAAAGTAAAAGAGATCCTATTTGCTAACATAGCGCGAGCACACCTGAATGTTAGACATAGAATATTAGACTGTTGAAATATCTGACAACTTTGTTCAAACTTTACCCAGTTATCCCAAAACCACCAGTAGAGACTTTTTCATAAAACCACGTTTTCTCAGATTCCGCAAAACAAGCACCAATAAAAACACCAGTTCGACTTCCCCGCAATGACTTTGGATTGACGCCAGCATCAAGCACTGCTTCATAAGCGTGTTCTAGATTCAAATTGACAATTTTTACACTTCGATTAATTAGCGAAACACCAGCACTTACCTAAAAGCATACGACATTGCGGATCCATTGTATGAGCTTGTTTAAAATGAACACCAAAGAAGGTTGCATCGAATCTTTCCAAATTAGAAACTTTTCCCATGCGTTTCGGAATCTCAGGGTTCGTGTGTTTCCATCGTCTTTCATCATCATCAACCATATCCACCTTATTGTAAAGGTTATGAGCAAAATCATGCATGTTATTCGAACTTGGAAATCTTCCAGAAATACCAGAAATGACAATTTCATCTTCAGGAGTTAATGGATATACACGAGAAAATAATTTTCTATTTTGTTGTTGAGGCTCAACCGATGGGCAACCTTCCATAATTTTTCTTCACAAGCTTTAAACTTAAAACGATGATTTTGGAAATTTAATGTCAAAATTTATTTTTGATTTAAACTTCCAATTGATTTAATTTTATGCACTTTTATTTGTTTCACAATTCACACAAGTTTTTCCTTTATTTGCACTAGGAGGAGTCAAAACGATAACTGAAGAAAAAGGTTCTAATGCATGTCAATTTATAGTCAAAATTTTGCATAAATTTCCAACTTTATGTTGATTAGCATAATTTTAATAAATTCATAAGTCAGCCAGTTATTGAATTTATGAATTTAAATTAGAAATAATTAAGAACAGATGGAATTCCTTATTGCCTAAAAATTATGTCAAATTATTTATCAAGTTCAAAAAGTCTTTTTGTTTGTCTTGTAAGTGAAATTAACTATTCAAATTGTCGTGTGCCATTTTTGTGTTGGAAATTAGAATAGAATTTAAGTGTTTGAACCTATTTTGCTTTTCTGTTCGGACGTTATTAATATTTGAAAGAATGGAATTGAAAACTGAAAATAATAATGAGCATTGATCAATATATTTTAAGAAAACTAAAGAAATTATCTTATTGCATCATTGAAATTATTATTGAAAAATTTAAAAGTTATAAATTTGCAATCAAAACTATCGAATGTTTTTAAATTAATGTATTCAAAACATCGTCGAGCTCCATGCAATCCTTACTTTTCAAAAACTTTATTTTAAAGAACAGGAAAAAATGTTTTGTTTGAAATTATCGAGAAACACATCGCTTTAAGAATGAAGTTTAAATTCAGAGTTTGCAAAAGCTTATTATTGCTAGTTGCAAACCCAATTACAAAGCTTTGTGTTACCCGAAATTTAATAATTCACAAAATGTTAAACTCGAGCGTAATATCTGATAAATCCCCGAATTAAAGGATTTTCAACACGAGTAAAAACGCTTGGAATCGGATATCCGCAAATGTTGCTACCAAAAGAAATTATACCGACTTGAAGACACCCGAATTGTAGAACAGCACCGCCTTTTAAACAAAGACATGAAAAGAACAAATGTAATTTATAAAGAACATTTCTTTCATTGTGTCTTACCAGAATCACCTATGTAAAAAATGATAAAGAAAATGAGTATAAACAATGTCAATTGATAAACAGCTGGTATAGCTTACCACTGCAACTGTCAACCTCATTTTCCACTGCTGCACAAAGCATTCTATCCGTGATATCACCACCCCAATTCAAATAACAAGAATCATTGTCAATAATTTCTTGATGAATTTCGAACAAGTCATTGGGATAGTATCCAACTTCATTCAGGCCCCTAGAAAAGAAATAAAATGATAAAAGATATAATCTAAAGCTTGACGAGTTTACCATCCAGCAAGCTTCACAATGGAACCAGCATTAGTTCGACATGCTTCATTGGCTAGAATAACTGGTCTAATATTAGGGACACCCCAAAAAGCTCCACGAATTCTCATAACCGCTGCATCACAATCAAGTGTAAGTGGATTATAGTCTGGATGAATGTGATATTCTTCAACATTAAACAGATATCCTCCTACAGCTCGATTTGAAGTACCACCAATGAGCGTTATCTATAACAGTGAAAATAAAAAGCTGTAAAATCAAGGAAGTATGATATGTTACACTCACATATTCCGGTGAAATTCGTGACTCGACACAATGTCCTAAATTGTAGATTAATTGATGATAAATTTGTTTCATGCTATCAATACACACTAGTAATAATTGTCACCTGCTGTTAGACTCCATATGGGAGAAATTACACTTGCGCTGCATTCAAATCTTTCGAATATGTGTAAAGATAATTTGAACGGATAATTCCTGATATCAGCCGGTTGTCCATTCAAAATGTAAGGCGAGAATGTATCGTTACCTTTATCACGAGGTGGAATACGTTTGCAAGGAGTTTCGTTTAATTTTTTATCCACAATAAATCCATTTATAGTTCCAATGATTGGCAACAGAATGCAGAAAACTACAAATGTTTTTGTTAACATTTCCGACGTAATTAAAAACCTTAAAAAACACATTTTTCTTATTTTTTGGCTTTTAATAGAAAAAAATTCCAGCTCACCTTTAACTATATTTTAAGAGTAAAGCAGTCTATTGTCTTCCGATGCCATTAAACGTTTGATAAAAATTAAACTTTCTCAAAATTACTGAGAATTTCTTATCAATGTTCTCTCTCAACATTGTAAGAGGAAACAAAAGGTGTAAAAAGAGTAGCTTGTGTATCATTTGTATACGATACAATGCCTTATCGTAAATGTTTTACAAACTTACCTGCTCATGGCTACTCATTGACTTGATCATTGTGATGAAATTGAGAAAGCATGAATGAGATGTTTTCATTGTGTTGGATGAAAGAACTTTTGATTTTTTTATATTTTAAATCTTTTGATTAATTATATCTTAGCTTTATCAAACTGATTTGGTTTGGATAGGGTAAAATTCAGAGAAAGTATAAAGCCAAATGAGATTAGATCAGCTAATCACTCCTTTGGATAGTTAATCTATACTTCCTTCATCCTTCATCCTTTCATAACTCAAATTAAACCTTTGATGCTCATCAACCTAGTAATTCAACCCTATATGATTCACATCCATTTATCTACACAATTCTTAAGGGTAGCTTATAAATCACGTCCACTAGAATCATGAGATTTTCAGATCACTTCACACTTTTCTGTCACTGAACTATTATACGACAAAGTTCCTATTGTATTGGAGTGTAATCCTAACAGACAAAAAGCATGATCTGAGCATGATTTTTAAAAAATTAATTTTTTAATTTGATGACGCTAAATTAGCGTACTCTCCAATACAAATGGAGATCGCAGCAGGGTACCACAGAAATCACGCTCTCAAGAGTACGCTTTTTTACTTGCAAATTTCACATGCAAGTTAAACTTGAGAACATGATCAAGAACATGTTCTGCTGATCATGCTTTAATTTTACTATTGAAAAAATTTTATGATCTTGTGATTGTGCTCTTGATCATGTTTTTGAGAAATTGATATAATTATTCTTTTTTGGTGATTGCCGTGATTCGAACCCGAGGACGTTGTGTTGTAGTTTGTCCTGATAACTGTTTATCTTGTCTAATGCCTTCTGAAATTGAATAACTTTCAAATGGCGATAAGACATATTTAAACTATAGAAAGTCCAAAATAATTACTTTTAATAGTGATTTCTGCTTTCTCTTGTGAAGTATATAGGAGTTATACTAGTGATTTCTGCTAGCGCTTGTGAAGGATATAGCAAGAAAAATTGTAGCATAATCTCATGAGGATGTGAATGATCATGATTTTTATATACTCTTCTGATCATGCTCTTGTGAGTATATAAAAGATTATGAAATAAAAACTTGCATGCAAGTTAGGGTAATACATTCCTTCCTTACTTACTTCGTTGGTCGTACGGATCAGTTGTGATCCATGACCTACCTTAGTCGTCCCCTAAAACTAGCTCTATCGCTGGCTACCGTCTGCCAATTGCCGATACCAAATGAAACACTGTCTCTATCAACAGCCTCTTTCCATGAGTTCTTTGGCCTTTCGAGTGATCTCTTTCCATCTACAAAATCGGATTTGAAGACCTTCCTCCCCCTCTAAAAGTTAGCCATCATTTTCGAACAATCTCTTATCGATCGATGTCAAACCATTTTCAAAAATCTTTCATGTTTAATTTTTTTATCTGAAAACAATACTTGATAAAAACTTATTTTAGAACAAAATATTGCTTGTTATTTATATGTACGTTCGGTGCTTTCCAAGTCATTGTTATTTAAGTTATTGAAAGGAAAAGAACATTTTGATATTAAGCAAACAGAACTCAACGCAAGGTTGACATGAAGAATTTGGACATTGGATTTTTGGTTATTTTATCTTTAGCTACAGTTGATCTGAAGATTATTTCAAAGAAAATTTGGCAGCCTTACATTCATGGTAACTTGCTAAATGCTCTTTATATCAACGAATTGACTAAAGTTTTCCATGAAAAACCTTTACTAGGTGGTGAAGATGTCAGGAACTTTTCAAACTTCTCATACATACTGTCAATGCGATACATAGACTTCCACATTTGTGGTGCTTCTATTATTCACTTAAGATGGGCTCTTACAGCTGCAGTAAGTATGACTAATTGGTTTTTTGCTTATCTTATACTCTTCATTCCCATTAGCACTGCTTTGACGATACACATTTTGTGGATGCGGTGTCATTTAGAGGTGGAAGTGTAAACAGATTTATTGGTGGCAAAATCATACATGCTGAGCAGTTCTTCATTCATCCTCAATATAATGCACCGACTTATGCTTTTGATGTAACTTAAATAGAATAGTCAATTTGTCACAAATTAAAAGCTTTCAAATTCTAGGTTGCCGTCGTACGAACTATTGAAGACTTGTCAGGCGATCACATGAGTCCGATTCGTTTGATTGGATTTAACACAATGCTACCTGCAGGTTTAGTTGGGTAAGGATTTAACAATATATTTGTTCTTATAAATTATGTTGCTTTTTCTAGATCAATTGCTGGATGGGGTGTTACGTCTTCTGGAAGTTTATCTATCAATCTACAACAATTGGATTTGCCAATTTGGAATCAAAGGGATTGTTCTGAACGGTGGTCGCAGAGAGTGAATTTGAAGTATGCAAACTTTTAACACAGCATTAAAGTATTCATTAATTTTACTCTTACCATTTTAGCAAATTTTGTGCAGGTGGAACTGCTGGATTTGACAGTTGCAATGGTAAGTTCTTAAAATTTTTAAATAATGAGAATTCAAATAATTAATTAAGCATATTCATAGGTGATTCTGGTGGTCCAATGGTAGTAAATGGAATGCAAGTCGGAATAATTTCAGCAGGCGGTAGTTTAAAACAGTTTAAAATAAAATGATCAACTCATCAATTCACCTGATTCTATTTTTCACAATTTCAGCGACTGATTGTGGCATTGCGTTCCCAAGTTTGTTTGTAAACATTACTCACCCATCTATCAGAGCATTTATCATGGAAAGAACTCGTGTTTAACACTGTTTAATTAATTATTTTTTGAAGAATGAGAGACAAAAATTTATTTTCAAAGATAACGTTAACGTATTTTTTATATTCAAAATTTTAAATCTAAAGTCGTTACACAAAAAAAGGTTGTTCACGACTGGTTTGGTTTTATTTACATTTAAAATTTTCAGAATTTATTACAAAAATTCATTAATTCAAGTGATTTAACTAGTTTAAAAGATGTATAATGAGTTCAGGATATGTCGAATCTGTTTAATACAAGAAGACGAGAGTGAACTAATTCCAATATACGAAAAAGACAGTGAATTAGCTACACAAATATTCTTATTATCTGGTATTAAGGTAAATAATGATTTAGATTCATTCTAATCATATTCTAAACAACTTATTTCTTAGGTTTTAGAGTTTATGAGTCATCAAGCAACAGCACTTATCTGTTCTGCATGTATTAAAGATCTTAACAAAGCTGTAAAGTTTCGGAAGAAATGTATACAGTCAGAACATCACTTTAAGAAACATTTATTGACATTTGAGCCATTTATTTGGAATGACGAACTTCGAATGATCAGTTCTAGTGATAATAATCATAAATCAATAAAAGAGGAACCTCACGAATTCAATAATGTCAACTTTTTTGAACACTATGCTGCCATTGTTGATGAAGATTGTGCAACAGATATGCTAAAAACCTCACGTCTCTCAAAATCAGTCAAGTCTTACAATGAGAATAGCCAAGCAGAACATCCTGAGAAGAAAAGACGTGTAAAAAGAAATATAAAGCATGAAAATGTTGAATCAGATTCAGAAACTCAATGTCATTTGTGCCTCAAAACATTCACAAAAATGCATTCAATGAAGAATCACATGAGAGCTGTGCATCAAGATTTAAACGAATCTGATATGTTCAAGTGCGAATATTGCGATCGACTATTTAAAATTAGATATTATTTGAGTAAGTAATCCGAAGATTAACGGTTTTCAAAAATTCAAAATCTATGCTTTCAAAATTCAAAATTTTGAAAATCGTTTAAAACTTGAAATTTAAAAAAACCGTTAAATGTCATTTTTGATATTCCAGATCGTCACATCAAAAATGCTCACACAAAAAAGAATTCGAAAAAGGAGAAACAGGCAAAGGCTAAAAATGAGGAAGACGAAGGCATATTCAATGAAAAACTTACAGGAATTAACTGTCAATACTGTAATAAATTTTTAACGAGCAGACATAGTTTAAATGATCATATAAGAGTCAGGCATTCATTCATAGATTTTAAAGACATGTATTTATGTGATGTAGGCTGTATAATTCATATCAAATAACATCGATTCTAATAAGATTCATTCTAGATTTGCGGTAAAGATTTCCCGATCAAATATTATTTAATAAGGCACATCCGAGCAGCACATCTCAAAACTATATCATATAAGAAGAAAAATATCGAATCTCTTCCATGCTCAATTTGTGGAAAGATCCTCAAAAGTAAAGGAAATCTGTCAACGCATGAAAAGACTCACAAAAAACTTACACCTGATGAATATTGGTACTGTGATTTATGTGGAAATAAGTTTAAAGGACGTGGCGAAATGAGTGTTCATATCAAGAAGAGACATTTGTATAAAATCAGATATCCATGTGAAATTTGTCCTGGAAAGTCTTGGAGAACTTTATTCCAGCTTCATCGACACATTAAAGTTATTCATCACAATATTAAGGAATTCAAATGTGAATGGTGCGGTAAAGAGTTTGGTGAGAAGAACAAGCTTCTTTGTCATACTAGAATACATACAGGTATGGGATATTGATTTGTGTTGTGTCTTTAATACCTAAAACAACTTAATTTCAGGCGAGAAGCCTTTCAAATGTAACTGGGAAGGATGTGATCGAGAGTTTACTCATCAGGTATACAGCAAAATATTATATTCATCCTTCAATTCCCTAATCATAGCTTTTTTTTATTATTCCAGACTGATTTTCGTCGGCACCGCTGGGGTCATAGTGGTTAAATGCTTAATAAACTCACATTTGAGTTATAACTAAAGGTTTCTTTTCTTTTACAGGCGTACGTCCCTACAAATGTGAAGTACCGAACTGCCTGAAAGGTTTCATGAAGAAAAGTGAACTGCTGGCCCACGAAAATAGATGCCATCCACCAAATCCACCGCCAATAAGATCAACGATCAGTAATATTCCCATTCAATATCAATATGAAATGTTGTAATAGTTTATAAATCAAATCAGAACTGAGGTTGAGGACATTCAGAATAAAATTCTCAAATATTATATGAAAAGGAAGTAAGCATTTTATTGGAATGAAGACTATAGGTTACTATTAGTAAATAAAAGTAGGTAATGATGAATTTTGAATCAAAAGTTTGTCGTGTGTGTCTTGAATGCAATGACAGTGATAGCTTTATTGACATTTTCGTAAGTGACGAAGGAATCGCTGATAAAATATTTACAATTTCAGCTGTTGTGGTGAGTTTAAAGAATTATGTTTTTTATGGACGATTTTAAGCTCTTTATGCTTTTAAGATTCTCAAGCAGGATGACTCGTGTTTTATCTGTAGATCGTGCCTTAGTCAACTGAATGATGCTATAAAATTTCGACAAAATTGCCTTAAAGCCAACGAATATTTCCAAAGTATTAATCCACAAAGTTCAGATGCTAACTTTATAATCACAGAATCACTAAGTGCTAATGAATCTTCAAGTCCAATTCCAAATGCGAACAAGGCAAATGAGTCTCAAAAGTATCAATGCACAAAATGTGCTAAACTCTTCTCATGTCGATATTATTTACAAAAGCATGAACATGTAAAGCATACAGAAGTCAATCCTAAAGACTATTTTGAATGTGATAAGTGCAGCTATAAATCGAAAACTAAATCACTGATGAAAGCTCATTTGCTTTATAATCATAAAAGTTCAAGGTAATTATGGATGTGAAATTGCCAAAAGTTCAATTCATTAAAAATCCATTTAATTTCCAGCATAAGACATCCAGAAACATTTCAATGCAAATTTTGTGGAAAGATTTGCATGAGCTCAGGTGCTCTATATGGACACGAAAAGATACACAGAACAGTCGCACCAGAAGATTACCTGAAATGCCCTCAATGCAACAAGTCGTTCAAAGAGAAACGATTGCTGAAAAATCACATCCAATTAGTGCATGAAAAGTCACGGATGTAAGTGTATATATAGTCTTAAACATTTTATTCGTAAGTAAATAATATATTTTTTATGTCACAGGAAGCAGTGTTACGAGTGTGGATTTATTGCAACATGTTCTGGGAGTCTTAATAAGCACAGAAAAGCTGTACATCTCAAAATAAGGAATCATATTTGTGACGAATGTAAACAGGGCTTTGCAACAAATCAGCAATTGCTTCGACATCTTCGAACTCATTCCGGTGCTCGTCCATATCCTTGCTTTAATACAGCCTGTGATAAATTGTTTGCAGACTCGCATGGCAGGAAGAGACACATGAAGATTTGTTCGAATAAAGGTTGAGATTCTTATATATTCACATTGTTTTGATTATAGTTGTAGTAGACGCATTCACTTCGATGGGCTATCAATTCACTACGTTTGCTGAAAGCTATTCGACATGATGTGCAGTTGTACCTTTATGAAAAATGATTAACCTTTTGAAATTGTTGATCGACGGTATGCTTTTTAGGGATACTCACTTGCGTTCTCCTGTATGCGACCAAATATGTCTTCTATAGTCGGTCTATAATGGAAAGAACATAAATATAAATTTGAACAAACTCTTCAAGGTCCTGAATAACATCAAACCTGATCATACCTCATGAGTATACTTTTTTCCACAACCAAAATAGTTACAAGTATATGGCTGCTCGCCAGTGTGTATTCTTCTATGGCATTCAAGTTTCCTCTTCTCTGGAAAGTCTTTACCGCACCTAATTAATAGATTAATACTCTGAATTACTCAATTTCCTTAATAGTAGTTCTATATCCTTACCATTCACATTTAAACTCTCGAATATTCTCATGCACAACCTTAACGTGCCTTTTCATATGATCCTTCCTCGCCCATGACTTTCCAGGACATTTATCGCACGTGTACCTTAGTTTAAGTATATGTCGTGTCTTAATGTGCAGTTCAAGGGGATTTTTCGCTCTAAATTTGTTGCCGCACATGTCACAGTAGTAATAATCTTCGGGTTTAATTTTGATATGGCTTTTTTCATGAACTTTAAGGAACGTCTTGCTAGCACAAATCTTTCCACAAACGACACATGGAAAGCATTGAACTTCTTTTGGTTCTTTTTTGATTCGTTGCTTTCTTAGCTTTGATCCTTTAAGGTGAGATTCTTTGAAATGTTTTGAAAGCTTGTTCTTTAATGTGAAGAGTTTTCCGCATTTCTGAAAAGATTTAAAGATTTTAGGTTCGGAACTAGGTTGGTTTTCTATCAAATTAGATCTTTGTTCATCCAAAATGTTTTAAAATCGAAGATTCTATTTTGAATTGTTAAGACTTAATCTCCGATTTTCTATTTCTATAAAAATCTTCAACCAAACCACTCTCAACACAAACTCACATCACATTTAAAGTCGTAAACTTCATGTTTATATCTAATATGATCCTTAAGTGCTGTGCGCTGATCAAATTGCTTCATACAATATTGGCACCCAATTATTTCATTTGATTCTTTTAATTCTATATGAACAGTCCTAAAATGTCGAGTATACTTGGATTTAAAGACAAATGTCTTGCCGCAGATCTTGAAATAGAATAAGAAAAGCTCAAATTAGCTTTAGTTCTAAATTAGCTTCAATTTTAAATGATCCAGAAGAGAGTGGCAAAGATCCAGTGACAATTCTTTGTTAAACTCTACAAGATCAGTTCTAAATGTTTTAATTTAAGTTTATAGCACATCTGGTTACTCTATATCTTCCATATCATACTTAAAATGAGAGTTTACAGCACTTAATACCTCACAAGTGAATTGCTTTTCCGGTTTTTGTTGTGTCCCATGAATTGCATTCAAATGATGCTTAAGAGCATGTTCAGATGACAACAATTGATCACAATGAATGCACTTGAACTTCTTTCTATTGGCACTTGTCAATTCCTCTTTCAGAATCACATCATCTTGGTCATCATCTAAAGAATTTTCATTAAGGATTGCTTCAGCATTGATTGTTGGATATTCAAAAAATGTTTCAATTTCTATTGGTTCTATTTTGATGGAATTAAGTACATCCTGCTCATTTTTAAACTCAAAATTGTCATGAGATTGTGCCTGGCATGTTTGATGATTATTTTCATTAAATAGTGTGTCTCTAAGGAACTGATCCGAACTTTTACAGCGATTTCTAAAAATAATTGCCCTTGAGAGATCCTCAATGCATTTTAGACATATTAAGGCAGGACATGATGGGAAATCAACAACCTGAAACATCAAGATAACTGACATTATACTTAATTCCTTCAGAATCAAATTTTAAGTCATACTTGAACTCCAGATATAGTAAAGATGTCTGAAGCAGTTCGATTGCCAGCATCCTGGAATATTGGCATTAAGTTCCCATTCCAATCATTTGCCATGCACACACGACACAGTCGCTTAACATTGTTCATTGCTGCTTAATTAATTTTTCATAGATTTCCTTTATTTTTCCTATATCTAAGTTATTGCCACAAAATTTTCTTGTTTACTTTAATCTCTTGCATAATGCTGTATTTGAAGGAAGACTTGGATGCAGCGGGAAGTTTGAAATTGGTCATTTAAATGTTGTTGCTGGATCTTTTTTGAAAGATCCAGTAAAACTTTAATTGACTGTTTTTGAGGAAGGTTGCATATTCTTGTACATCGAACTAGGATTGTCTTGATCCTCATTCTATGCAGACATGCTTATATAGTTCAAGTAAAACATACTCGATTGTTTTATCCAAAAATTGGCATAAATTTTAATCATTTTATTCTAATTGTGTACATAATTGGCATAGCCATGCTATATATTATTCATAATATTAATTAAATTTATTTCTTATTTATACAATCCCTTCCACAGCACAAGCCTATCATTATTAACTTCCTTCCGTATACAGCATATTCACGTGGACACATTTTAAAAGGTTTGAATGTTTTGTGAAACAACAAGTATTAAAACATTGAATATTGAAAACATTGACAGAAAGCTAGCTAAGCTTAATTGATTGGCATATTTGGGGGTAGATGTTGTGGAAATACATTCATCTGTTGACTTCTCCATGCTAGACAACGATTTTTGTGGGAAATTAATTCACTTCGTTTAACGAAGCCTTCGCCACACATTTGACACTTGAAGCTCTTCCTGCCTTCATGATTCCACTTGTGTCTGCGATAATCTGTTTGATGCGTAAATTTAGCATCACAATACTGACAAATGTAAGGCTGTTCGCCTGTATGGATTCTTTCGTGTGCTACAAGTTTCTTCTTTTCGCCAAAATCCTTTCCGCACCAATTACATATCCATTCTCGGATATTTTTATGACGAACTTTAATATGAATCTGGAGAGAATGATTTGTTGTATATGAGCATGGACATAATTCACATTGATAGCGAATTTTCTGGATGTGTCTCTTTCTGATGTGAATTTGCATCAGTAACTTTTCTTTAAACTTGTTGCCGCAAAGATCACAATAGAAATATTCGTGTGGCTGGAGGATCCTGTGCGTTTTTTCATGCTGTGCCAAATTTCCTGAATAAATAAAAATAGCGATCAAAAAATATTCAAAAAATAACGGTTAAAAAAGATTTGAATTTTATGAAAAATTCAAATTTTAAAAAAAACGGTGATTTTGTAAAACTAAAGCTCTTTACTGCTGATTTGAATTTGTAAACTTACGTTTATTCTTAAATATCTTTCCACAAATTGAACATGGACAAGATGGATCCTCAGAAGTTTCTCCTTGAACTGCAGTCTTCATCATTTGTTGCATTTTCTTATCAACTTTTGGAAACAGAACATCCAGCCACTTATTGTGCTTATTCTTGACATGATTCCTGTATGATTTTCTGTTCTTGAGAACTACTTTACATAAAATGCATGTCATGTCGGAGTCACTCTTCTTGACATATTTTGAGGAAACAGTCAAATGTGCTTGATGAATGTGCCTTTTTAATGGATGCTTATTTGGAAATGCTTTCCCACAATTCTGAAATTATTAAGCATAACAGTTAATTTTATAGTATTTAATGACTTATTGATACTAACATCACATTCATATTTCTTGGAAGATTGTGGCTCATGCTTAACTTGTATGTGATACTTTAATGACCTCCTTGTATTAAGCTTTTTATGACAATGTGGACATGTTAGACTTCTCAGCGTTTCTTCATCTAAAGCCATTTCATTCCAGCTTGTATTATTATGTACTGGATCTTCATAGTCATCAAACTTCCAGTTATAATCTTCCTCGTCCTCTGAATGAAATTCAATCTGCGGTTCAACCTTAATTACTTGTCTGAATTCATTTTCACATTTAATTTTAGCATCCAATACATTTAAACTATCAAAATTCAATTCCTGACTGTCCCAAAAACATCTTTCGACTTGACTAAAGCCGTCTTTTAATAATTCATCTGAAGTTCGACATCTTTTTCTAAATTCTGTTGCTACAGTCAAGTCTGCAATGCATCTTTTACATATATAAGCTTCTTTCTGGTTCTTTATCTCAACAATCTGTAGATAAATCATCATTAACATAATTAATCAATATCAGATTACTTCAAAAAACTTACTTTTACTCCAGTCACCAAATATATATCCAAAACTGTTCTTTTGTCATCCTTAAACATTGATTCCAGATCTGTCCTTTCAGCCAAACACACTCTACACTGATTTAAAATACTCATTGTTAAATAAATTACCTTTTTTTGTCAAATATAAAAATTCACAATTTTTTTGATGTTTACTTGTTCTTCATATTTTTTTTGTGAAAGCTTTGTGCAGCATAATTGGACAGAAACTTTAAAAATTCAAATAAATTAAATCCGTTACACCTTTGTTTCGAAAGTCCTTATTTTATTAGTTTTACTTAAAATTATATACATTGTTTGCTTGTTTATCACGACTGTGACTTATGTTTTGACCATTAGTTCCAATCGAGCCATAATTTGCTTTAATTTCTCCACAGAATCACTGAAATAAAGATATAATAAGCAATTAAATATGACGAGAACATTGAAGAAACTTACGCATATAAAGGACCTTTTGAATCTAATTGACTTTCCAGATTTCCCACATAAATCACAAACAGATTCATGCTGTCTATGAAATTTTTGTCTGCTGTAACTAGCCAGATTCGTGGTAAAGTCTGCAAAAGTGTTTGAGCCTTTGATATGCCCTCTAATGGATTACTAATTCTCATAGCTGACAATAAATATCTGTTAAGTAATGATGCTATAGCGAAATTCTTTAATAAAGGATCTGCAACGATTCCTTGGAAACTGATAAAATTTCTAAAAAGCTTAATTCCGCTATAAAACTGTCGTTGAAAGAAAGCTGATGATTTTGAGTCGGAGTTTCTGTAAATGAAAGATTTTATGTTTAACAGTGTTACTTTAAATGATAATTCACACTTACTGCTTCAAAAAAATAGGGATAAAGACGTCATTGTCTAAAGCTAGCTTCATTTTGTCCGTTATTAATGAGAACAGAGCTTGCAGATTTTTCGAAGTGATTCTCAGTGATGGATAGTCATTCGATAATTGATTCAAAAGTTTTACTAATTTTAGAGTTTGTGTCGTTGAGAGTGGATCGAAACTTCCTTCAATTATTTCTTTAAATTACAAAAAAAAATATATATATATAACTGTCAAAACTATTTTGAAATTTATGATCTAAGAAAATTTGAAAATTAAATGACAGTTAAATTTTGACAGCTTTTAAAGTACGACATAAATTAACTTACTGTTTAATTTTGGCAAGACAATTTTCTCTAAAACCGTCGGAATCAAAAATACATCAGGATCGTTCCTTAATGACTCTTCTGTTTCTGTTTCTGTTCTTCCATACATAGCTGCTGGATGATACCACTTCATTTTGTCGATATCTTCATAAAATTCTGTTGAAAACGGTGTCCAAAGAATCATTTCCCATCTCATAAAAACGCCGATGACTTTTGGTAAGCATAGATGAACAAAAGCTTCTTTGTATGAATTTAAGTCCTTTTTCTTCCATTCCTCGAATTTCTGCAAAATGAATGGCAGTTCACAGTATTCATCAGTCACATCCTCGAAAAGTAACGTTGCTTCCTCCTTTATTTGTGCTGTAATAAAATTATTTTTATTGTTATTAAATTAAGCACTGATAAATGCAACCAATACTTACATATTTGTTCTTTATATTGATTATATTCAATATCAGGAACTTCATCATCGCTTGACATTCCATCATTGTGTGTTTCGTTCATGCTAAGCTTTTCACGTTCTCGTCTACGACGTGTTCTCCTGCCTTCACGTTCAGCAGCTCTTCTGACGCGCTCTTCATCCTCCTGTGTCTTTTTGCCTGTTTCTATGGATAATAAAGAGCAAATTGATTGACATATTTTTGAGAAAAATAACGATAATAAAATATTTGAAATTTAACGGCACGAAAATATTTGAATTTTTGAACTTTAAAGTTCAAAATATTTGAATATTTTTTAACCATTAAAATGTTTAAGCTCATTTGAGTGATCAGTTTTCAATTCTACTCACTTGTGTCGGTTATTTCCTTTGCTTGATCACGAACATCTTGCCGCCTCCTTTCAATCAACTTTTTCGAGTACTTTGACCTGACGCTTAATATCCTTTCTTCTAATGCTGTAATTTGTGGCACTTTTTCATTCAAGCACTCAATAAGATCATCTAAGTACAATTTTAATTCTTGATAAAAACGATATTTTGATGCAGCTTGTGGTCCATTTTTCTCACTTTCTTCCAAATCAACTCTTATGCTTGTAAATTCTTCAGTTATTCTATCAATATCCAAATAATGCTTGTGATTAAGCTCTCGTGATGACCTCAATTTATCATTAATAAGTTTAAGGATTTCTTGTGGTGTTTTTATGCCAGAACTCTTAGTCACCTCCTTTTTCTTTTCTTTCTTCATCTGTTTTGCCATTTCATAATTATTCTGTGAATAAGCTTGCTCTAAGAGTTCAGCAGTCGTTAATGGCGTTTTATCTTCAATCTTTATAGTTTTGTTGCTATTTAAAAGAGGCGGTAGTAAATATTGTGAAAGTGTCGATTCCGATTGAGCAGTCATGATTTGAGCTCCTGTAACACCTTTCCTGATTTGTTGATTTTCCCATTCATTCATTTCTAAGTCAGAATCATCATGCTCATGCTCATCCGATTGAACTGAATAAAATTGCTCGCGTCTTTCTTCTCGTTCCTTAACACCAGTTATAGCTGACATATCCACTCGCTCCTCGTCAGTTCCACTGCCTTCAACGTCTTCTTCACGAACATTTCTCTTACCTTTTCTTATTTGTTCCTGATCATCATCAATTGATATGAATTCACCTAAAATTTGACAAAACTATTAATTTTGTTACATTTTAAGAAAATAAAGGAAGCATATACCTTCTTCTCGAGCTTTTTGGCGTCTTTTTCTAGCTGCATGAATCATGGCAGCATCAGGAATCGCTCCAGACTCTAATTTCAGCTTAATTTCATCTGGTTGTGAAAACTTAATGCCTTGATATCGATCCTTTTCACTTTCTTCATTTTCATCATCTGATGACATCTCATCACGTCCAGCACATAGAGCAGCACGACCATTAAGTATCATATTGTCAGGATTAGAATTCTTGAGTCGAATCTATACAAATTTTGGGGTTTTAGAAATGAAATAAAAGAGAATAATGAGGAAATATTAGTATAAGTGAGTTGAACTAGCTTAGAAAGTATTCCAAATGAATTAAACTAAAGGTGAATGTATTTTAATTCATGTGGAAATGATCAGTAGAAAGAAGTTTGAATACAAAAAAATTTCAGTTTTAGTTTTGAAGAAAACTATTTTTGAGATTTATAGTCATGACAAATTTGTGGATTTAAGATTGGTAGAAAAAATTGAATAATAATAACCTTACCGAGAATCCATCTGATTCTGATTGAATTTCTTTCACATAATTACTCTCCTTAGTGACGTTAGAGGTAATATTATCGCGTTGGGAATTATTATTGGAATTTTGAGAGTTATTACTATTACTTTTAATGGACTTTTCGCTAGACCTATGCTTTTCTTTTTTGCGCTCTTTATAGATCTTCCGGCTATAACTCGATTTCTTTACTTGAAATGTTTCACCTTCATCTATAAAACAAAGGTTTTTATGTGTTATGTTATGCTTATTAATCATTTAAATCAATATAAATACAGTTCCTGAAACAAGAAGATTATGTTATTAAGAATTTAATGTCAGCCTTAATGGATGTTTAAACAACATCCAGACCAAATAAATTACCTTCATCAACAAAACTCAACAATGAACTTTTCTGTGGCTTAATTGGCAGCTTTTCTTTCTCTTTCTCCTTTTTCTTATCTTTTGTTGAGCTCTCTTTTCTCGATTCTCGACTATCCTCGTCTATATCCATCTTTTCAGCATTTTCTGGATCATTTTCGCTACTGAAAATTCTTCTATTTGATATAGATTTTTTCGGTTTCTTAAATAATGACATTTTTGTCTATTTGCTACACTCTCTGATGTATTCCTTAAGTGATGGCGATTCTCTTACTACTTAATAATACATTTAACTTGATTAATTGAATAGAAATTCGATAAAAATGTTAAAATAATCGTTTATCGTGCAATTTTTCGACAATTTTCTGGTTACTGTGTATTGGTGCGAATGAAAACTGATCAAGTCCAAAAATTCAGCTATTTATTTTATTTTTTCAGTGTTTTATGGATTTTGAGGAATTTCTACAGCACAACAAAGCTAAACTATCGTATTAAGTGAATAATTAAAATGACTTGGATAGGTTTTAAAACTCAAATAAGTTTGGACTTATCACATTTATACTCGAAAACATTCAAATACACTGTTTACATTTTTGGGCACTGTTTTCAAAAAATGTTAACGGAAAAATTCAAAATTATAAAAATAAAAAAATTTGTAAAACGGTTTAAGCAGCACGATTTTAATTAATTTAAGTTTTTAAGGTCATTAAAATGACTAGTGATGTGAAGAATATGTTTGATAAAGAGAGAATTAATCAGGATCTAGCTGAAAAGCTTCGAAAAGATCATCCACTGCAGTTATCTACACTAATTCGAATGCATTTAAGTTTTTTACTTGATTTAAACTGTTTAAATGAAGAGTAAATTGATTTAATTAAGTTTTATAAGCGTTTTGCAACAGAATTAATGAATTTATTTATTCAACAGTAATGAAGTGGAATCAACAGACAAGACAAAGAGTAAGAAGAACTGGTTGTTTCATAAAAAGAAGGCTTCAACAATTTGTACATCAAATCCACACAATAAATCTCCTGAAATTCCAATATTTCTGCCTGAAATGATGAAGCAGCTAATGACTCTTATTGACTTCCTTGAAAAGGATGAAAGTGAGCTATAAACATCCAGTTATCAAAATACTGTATCTGAATTAATTTAATTAAATCTAGATTTAAAGCAAGAGGGAATATTCCGTAAAACAGGATCTATAACTAGACAGCAGGACTTAAAGTTCCTCGTAAATCAATTGAGGCCTCTCATGATAGATGATACAGAATATACAGCACATGACGTTGCTAGTGTACTAAAATCAATTCTTAATGATCTTCCAGAACCAATTTTAGTCGAGGTATGTGCTGAATATGTTTTTTGGGCGTTGACATGTACATAAAATTGCCCAACATTTTTACATTCAATTAATTGACATATGATGATCGTTATTATTATTATTACATACTGTATTGTTTTATGCTTGCTTACTTTCTCTTTCGTAACTTTTATTTAGGCTTATTTTCCGGCTTACTCACAAATTGCAGATATATGTAATTCAAAAGAGAATGACGAGCATGAGAGGATCCAGAATTCATTACAGCTATTATTTTTACTGCTTCCAATTGAAAATAGAAATATACTTGAGAAGCTCATAATTTTATTACATAAAGCATCGACACTTGAGGCATTCAACAAAATGAATTCCGATTCTCTTGCGACATTATTTACACCACATTTAGTAGTTCCACGTAAGCTCTCGCCCGAAGTTCTGCATCAGACGGCTGCAAACATGACAAAAATGATTAGTTTCATAATAACTAATGGATCAAAGATCTTTTTAGTACCAGAAAAGCTAGCAACAGACATAAAGGCATATTTAATTGAGGAGAAGCGTCGAAAAGAGACACCTGAACGAATTCTAGACGAATCAGTATCTGACTCAGTTGCAAATACAGTATTTACATTTATTGACAGAGAAAAGACAGCAGAAGCACACGGGCAATCGACTACAGATACAGCATTGGCACAACTTTATGCTCATATTCAGTCGTTGCCAGAGTCATCAAAGAAAAAGAAACTTATTAAGCAATTTAATAAACAGAATGGACAAGGTGAGTTTAAAAGTTTAATGAACTGATGTTTGAGGAAAATTATGAACATGAGAAAAAATATCTCATTTGTAGTCGTTGAGAAATATTACAAAGATCTCGAGTCCATTCCAGAAAATTGCTAGCATTCTAGTAAGTCAAAATTGTTTGAGAAATTGTTATTATGATTATTAATTTAAATGCTTTTTGGTTTATGGAATGACTCTTTCTACTTCTACCAAGCGTGTTTTCTCAAGGCACTCAATAATTGGTCATTAACGTGCTATGTTTCACGTGTTATGGTTCAATGTTCTATTTCAAACCGTTATTTTTAAAGTTTGAATTTATGAGCGCTAAAATTGAAGCATAAAATTCGAATATTTTACAACCGTTATTTCTTTAACATAATTTTATCAAATAGCACTCAAATGATCATTAGTGCTGAGAAAATGCGCTTTTAACTGTCACAAACGTCCACGTCTATTCTAGTTTTCCTCTGTCTTGTACTCAAATCTTAATTTACGCTTTAATAGTCTTTAAACACCTTCACTTATTTTAATTGATTTGCTTCACAGGAACACCATTGCAATATGTCAATCGGGACAAGTCAGTCTCGACATGCCGTTCCATTGGCGATTCCATAAAAAAGCACATATTTCATAAAACACTTAATAAGACACCTAAATGTTCTACTAATACCCCATCATCATCAAAAATAACACGTACACCATCTGTACAAGTAAGTACATTCTCATCACGGTCATTAATTTGCATTAAAAGACGAAGAAAACGATTAAAATTTTGACATGCATCCTAACAACCATTAACTGCACACCATTCATGACTAACATAAAAATGTTGCATTAATTAAATTATTTCAGACCTATCCGAACAAAAGAATCTTATTCCAAAGTCCACTTCCTGCATCATCTAAACCATCACCAATACTGGAATTAAAATCATCACCTGACATTCATAATCAATCTATGAGCAATTCATCAACTTCATCTACTACCTCAACAAACAGTAACGAAATGTCACCAATGAAGGCAATAAGCAAGCAAACAAGCGATAATGAAAATAATCCTGTGGTTCCAGTTGACGATAATCAGTTTGAAATGTCGAATGAAATGATTGACGATGAAGATTTTGTTGATTCTTCGGACGAAGAGGATGAAAATCTACAAAAAACTTTAATTAATCGAAATATTATTTTGCCAGTTGATGAAATGGAGCATAAATCATTAATTTCTGGTGGATCTGAAAGGAAGAAAGCAACATCAATATTTAAATCTCGTTTAATGAAAGGCGTTAGTTTAGGGAATTTAAAGTTTCCATTCCATTCGTCCACAGCGACTCCTAAAACGTCACCAAAATTAAAGAAATCCAAATCTTCCAGCATTTTAATTGACATTGAAAAGGAAAAGTTATTAATGAAAAGTGCGACAGAAAGCTTCAATAGTTCTGAAGAATCTGAAATGTACTTTTCAATGGATCATACTAAAGAAAGTTGGCATGTTGATGTGTCTAATATTAATTATTTCTTAAATCAAACCGGCATGCAAGATCATCAAGGTGGAGTTCGAAACTCTATGTCACCAATTACTAAATCAACCCAACGAATGCCTAAATCCATGCAGGTAAGAGCTTGTGTTTCTAACATTTCTCTAATAATTCGTTTCATGTTGTGACTAACGCTTTGCGAAGCTTAATTAACAGCTGATTTTAAAATTCATTCAGTCAAACACAGTTCATTTCTGTTCAGTTCTACATTTTGAAATTTTGAAAACCGTTAAATATTCAAAACTTTATACATTATACATTCATAATTATTTAAACTCGTTCCAGGAATCGATCATGACACCGCGCTCGAGGAAACCTGTAATGTTATCGTTGTTTGGCAATTCTGAGAGACAAACGAATATTTCACAGCTTTTAGAAGAATCCGAAGAAGTTATCCAAGAAAATGAAGAGTTATCCTCTCAACCATTGCCGGTTCCAATGAAAAATTTGAACATTTTGTCAAAAAATAATCAAAATATCTCAAATGCATCATTAAATGCTGCAAATGACAATGGATTGCCAACAATACCTGAACATGGATCGTCAAATTCCTCTGGATCTTTATCAAGTGCCTTTAAGTAAGTTGCGAATTTCAAACCAAATGCAATTAAGCTTACTAATTTGATTAATGTTTTAGGGATTACATGTATTCACGTGGACATCAGATTTACGACAACGACCAAGACGATTATTCATTTTCAAGTCAATCCGATGATTTTGAATCATCAAATGAGTACCAAAAGCTAGAAGAATCTCACGAAGAAGTTAAGGATAAAAATGAATCCATAAATACAACACAAGAAATTGATATTGATAAGATCATGAATCAGTCATCGTCAATGAGCAAGAGCTTACTTCACTGTTTAGATGGAAATGAAACTTCACTTTTATCGCCGCAATCATCATTTGAGAAAAATCGGAAACGACAACTTGACAATGATTCGCTGAGAGAATCACCAACAGAATCACTAAAACGTCCTCTAATTGACAAAGATTCTAATTCGACAGACTTTTAATTATTTAACTGATTAGCTTGCTTATGGACTGGAACTATAAGTATTACCGGAGGTGCATGGACATAAATAATGTAAAAAATTCACATATTTCTTTTTCTTGATCTTGTGAATGAATTAGATATTACTTTATATAAATGACATATTCTAAAATTATAAGGATGTTAACATAACTTTCCATAACTCCATTTATATGAGAAATCAAATAATTATGAATCATTTTTAGACAGATTTTAAACTTAGAGAATAAAAAAAAGAGTTGATTTTAAAGATCATCTTATATACGTAAAAAAAAACAATGAGTTTAAATAGTCTAGTCATTATCCTCGAGCATTAGATTATTATTGATTCCTCTTTGTTTTAAGCGCTGTCGCAAAAGTGCATTTTTTTCCTGCTTTGATTCTATTTCTCGCCGTTGTGCATCGAGGATCTCTTCTACGGATACCTGAGTTAATTTACTATTAAGTTCCTGCTCCTTCTCACGGTCCTACAAAAAGATCCAGTAAGCCATTAAAGCTTTACATTTAGAATCACATTAAATACTCACAATTTCCCCAAGAAGAACTACATTCTCCCCACGAATAATGAATACTCCTCGTTCCATATCACCATACTTATCGTTCACATGAATACGTTCTGTAAATAAAGCCTTTTAAATGAATTAAAGATATGCCGAAATTTTACTGGATCTCACCAATTGCGCGATGTAACACTAAATTAGCAAATTGATCAACAGCACGAAGATATCCGATAAGTGTTCGACCGTCACGTAGAAGAATCATTAGTTTTTTATCTATCTCGTTCAACAGATGTGCTGTATTTTCCATAATTATAGCTAGTTTAAAATTTAAATTTTTTACTTGAATTGTACTCGAATTTTGTCTTCAAAACATAAACAACTTTTTGAATTTTTTGCACCCGTTAAATTTTTTTGATATCTAGCGCACTTTCGAATTTATTAAGGATATTTGTATACTTACAAGCACTGTTAAGTAAGCCAATTCACTTAAAAGCTGAAGAAAACAAGAAAATTCAAAATTAAGAAATCAAAACAATTACAGCATGTTTTGACATTTTTGAGATAAATATTATTTTTTGAAATTAATTGATTCTGTCTGATTTAGAGCTTGTTTTGAAGTAATAATGGTTCAGACTAATAAGTCTAAAAGTAATCAGTGACAAACAATTTGAGGATATTATTAATTCATCAAATCAACCCAGAAAAATCATCAAAAACTGTTTTCATTATGTTGGGAAGAATCGTCAGATCAAAATATTGCAATTTTATGCTAAGTTTAAGATCCATCAATAATGCAACAGTTATTTTCAATAAAGGTACGTCAGAACTTTAACTCTAATACAAAATATCCAATAATCATGTCCATATTCCGTAGATTTTAATGAATCCAGTTCGGAAGTTGGAACATCAACAAATCTCGTAATAAAATCCTTACAGACAGTTAACGTCCTTCCTGACTTGATACAAAATCTATCAAATGTGCATAAAAATGACATTGAGCCAGAACAGCTGACGAAGATATTTAGTAAAATTTTCGAGCTTTATAAAAATGATTTTGAGCAAAATTCACTGGACATCATCAAGACAACTGGATTTAAGAACTGCTGTGCTATACTTAAATCTCATGCTCCACGAATGGTGACAAATGATTTAGTCATATGCTTAAAGACTCTAGTAAGTCTAAACTTAAATTCTAAACATAAAATTGTTCAACAGCTTTTGTATCATATTAAAGAGGAGATTAATGAACTTTCCTTATCACAATTGGCATTCCTAAACTATCTACTGTTGAAAATGGAATCAACACCTTTAGTGAATGCATTAAAAATAGCACTTCCAATTGTATTTGATCTTAATGTAAGTCTTAAACTGAATCATGAAAATCCCGAAGAAATAATGAAGCTACTGCACTATGTGTCAGTCACGGAATTGAAAATATCTGATAAAAGTATGATGAATTTATTATCATCAATAACTCTTCATGGTACATCAATAAGCGTGCATAATGCTCAGACAGTTTTGTCAGCTGTCCGTAAACTTTCGTATAGGTATTATGAGGACTATGATGTTGTGCAGAAGCTTGTCCAAAATTGCATTCATGTACTGAATATAAAGTTTGAGGAATCAACATTTCCAAAAATGGAAGCAACACTCGAGAAGTTGATTAGGAAGTATAAATATTCAGGCATTGACGAGTTCTATAATGAAACATTTTATAATAACTGTGCAAAGCAACTGATTGAGAAGGATCTTGGATTTACTACAGCTTATCATGTGCTGAAAAAATTTAATGAAGTCAATTTTGTTAATTATGAGTTATTAAACTATATAGACAAGCAAATAATCCAAAATCACACATTATTAAGCACAATGCATCTTAATCAAGTGATGAACTTAGTGGCTGCATTCAGCACCGCTGATTACAAATCTGAGAATTGGGAAATCATTAAATCAATTTTACATGAGAATCCAGCTCTTCATAATGACATCACTAAAGGTCTGCCACATTTAAAGTTTATCTGTGAATTGCTGTCTTTGGATTTTGTCTCAAAAATATATTTTGACAAGGTCCTCAATGAGACCTTCCTGTTTGATTTCTTAAAGCAAAATTTATCGAAAAATTTCGCAAATTTACCTCAAATTCGAATCATTTATCAGACTTTAAAGTTGTTGTATCCAAAATATGACGGTATTATTCCTGACGAGATGCTCTTGAACATCGCAAATGACGCAATACCTACAGAAACAACTGGTATGAATGAAGTAACTAAAGACATGATGCAGAAGATTTTTGGCACTGGAACCGCTCAAATGAATGTGCAGTCAAAGTATGGACATTTAATAGACTTCGTAATTTCATTTGACACCCAAAATAAAGCCATTTCATTGCCATGCAAGGTTCAACTTTTTGATGACATCCCTAAAAGTCAGGTACGATCAGTTGCTGTATTCTTTCACTCTAGAAAAAATTGTCCATTGAATTTCCCAATTAAGCTGAGAGGAATCATCAGCTTGAGACGGAAAACAATGGAAGCTATGGGTATTAAAGTTGTGGATATACCATTACATTGTCTAGATCAAATACCAGAAAGTGAAAAGCTTGAGTATGTTGAAAGAGAAATTCGATATGGTTTAGAATAGTAATTAATTCTAATAAAAATAGTCTGATTATCGATGAATTTTTATACACTTAAATGTTTAATTTCAGGCATGATTTTAGATTTGATTATTCACTCTTAGACTGGGAGGGGTCCGATGGGGTCTGGACCCCCTCGAAAAAATTTATGTATAGCAAATTTTTTTTGAAAAATAACGGAACTCAAATTAAGAATTTAATCTTTAAGGCAGTGTCTTTCAAACTTTTTTGGTGGGCAACATACCCTAATGTTAAAGCCATGACTAAAACCGTCTACGGTTCGTGAGATTTTTTTCTGAATTTTTTTCTGAATAAGCCCCTGCTCTGGGGCTGAGTTTACTTATATAGCTAATAATAACACAAGCTGCAAGATCTAAAAAGCTTTTAATAAGCTTTCAGACCTACAACTGCTTTGAGGAGATTACGCAACTTACACTTGAGCTTATACAACCTAATACAGATTTAAGTTGTCATTTCAGCTATTAGGAATTCAGACACACCCAACCATTTATCCTTATCTACAAGAATCTTCTTGATTGATCTTATCAATCTTTTCGCGTGACTGAGATTAATATCTGCTCGTTTTCATCTGCTGATTAATTTTGCGGAACTGAACATGCGTGAGAAAATGCACACATTGATCGACGTAAAAATGGGATTGTAGAGGGATTAGAAAAACATTAACAATCTTCACAATTTTATCTTCAAGGACATAAGTCGTGCGTAAACAATTATGGAATTATGCAAATTGAATCATCAGTCTAATACATATTGTGATCAACTGCGTCAAAATATTTTTATATCGTCTAACACTGATGCTGATGCTGATTAAGCTAAGTACTTATGTATTAAAGAGATGATTTGAAAATTGAATAATTGATGTATTTTGAGGAGTAGATTGCTTTTAGCTTTATTTAAATCCAATAATAAAAGGACGCTGTTAATAGCAACGTAATTGTGCATCTCTAAACAACAATTCTCAACCAATCTCGAGAGAAAAGGTTTAGTATCATAATTCTTTGCTATTTTGTAATTCTTTACGATCAAAAAATTAGACTAGCTAAGAAGGTAATATATTAAATCATTTCAGATCTAATTAATTTGATACTTTATTAATTTTATCTTCAAATCACGTTTAATTTTGTTTGCAAATAAATCATACACATGATTATTCAATCATTACTCATATTAATGACTAAAAGTCTATTAAAAAGAAAGCTTAAGATAATAAAATCATAAATAAACAAATCTCTTGATATTATCAAATCTCCAATCACGAAGATAATCTGCGTAGTTTGTAAATAAAAAACCACGTGCGTTCATTGATACAGAAATGAGAGAGTAAATCAGTAATCAGTGGCTAGTATCTTATCAACATCAATGAATAAATTATGAGATAAGTGTCGAAAATTTTCATAAATCACATGGAAAATTCTCAGTACTTATAAAGCTTTTGACTGTTAATGAAGTTAGTTAAAACAGCAACATAGAAAAAATGGCGAATTACAAAATAACCAACCAGATTTTTGTCTCATTAATTGGTAAAATTCATTTTTATTTGGTTCTAGTGTATGGATTAGCTATGATTAGGATAAGTGTGATGAAAAAGCTATAAAATATTGCTTTTACATCAAGGATTATTGAGCTTTTGACAAGTTTTCAATAAAAGTCGATCATTTTCAACCCAAAGGATCTGCAGATGATATAATGAGATGAGATTTGATGTTAGAAAAAGTATAGTCGTTGAAGAAGACGATAGGGTGGGGTGTAGAAATTTCAAGAAATTCATTGTCCTTTTTTCGTCATAAATTAACGACCCCAAACTGAGTTGATACTCCAACAATGGTTCAGGACAATTACAGATTTTACAATTACCAAAAAAATTTGTTTTCTTCTTTTGAAGTCTAGGTTTAGGTTTTCCTCAAGCCACAGTTAAAAGCTAGCATAATATACAAAGTAAATACTAAAGAAAAGTTTGGCGATACACTTGATAAGATAGATTTAAATCAAAGATTTGACTCCAAAAGAAGCTCCAACAAAAGAAAAAGGAACCAAAAAATTAGTGATTTGATACTTTTAGTATAAAAGGAGAAACTTTGCTGACGGGGGTTGATTTTTTCAAAAAAAAAATAAAACACTGATAATAAATAAAGTAGAAGTTTATGAGTGTCAATTTCAATTACCACGAAAAAAGTTTACAATCAATATATTGTATGCAGATACTTATGGGATACTGTTCTGATAAGCCTTGCTAATGAATTTGATTCAAAATGATTCACATACTAAAGTTGTTACGTACATCTAGTATCAATTTAATAAAAAGCTTTAACTTTCAAAAAATTTCAGCAAATTTCGGGGCATTTCTATATGGAATAGCACTAGGATGGAGTAATGGTGTAAATGACGACATAGTGGATAGACAAGACTTCAAGTTTTACGTGTCAGCTTATCACTTTGCATGGATTGTAGCATTAATGCCTTTGGGAGGGGCATGTTCAAGTGCATTTTGTGGTGTTATGCGAAAACATATAGGAACGAAAATTACAGTTTTTATCTACGGAATTCCGATGGTTGTTGGTTATGGACTCTTATTATTTGCAGTCAATGTGGAAATGGTGAGAATGATTGATAACAAAAATAAATCTGATCATAAGCACGTGCTCATAATTTACAGCTGATGATCGGACGATTTCTTATCGGAACTTCAGCTGGATGTTATATTTTTATTCCCGTACTGTATATCGGTGAAATTGCTTCAAAAGAGATTCGTGGACTTCTTTTAAGCACCTTCTTCTTTATGGTTTATTGTGGAGTCACCTTTGTCTTTTCAATGGGTCATTATGCAAGTTTAATGTCACTACATGTCATATCAGGAGCACTTCCATTGCTATATTCAACTGTATTCATCTTCTTGCCAGAATCACCACCAATGCTTGTTAGCAAGAATCGCATTGAAGAAGCAAAGGAAACTTTAATGTTTTTACGTGGAAGTACATTTAATGTTGAAGCTGAGATTGATGATTTAAAGATTCGACATCAAGCAACAGCAGAAAGAAAAAGTTTCTTAAAAGTTTTCAGTGTTAAGTCAACGAGAAAAGCTTTGATTTTAATCGTGTGCATGTTCTTCTTCCTTCAAATGTCAGGAATAACATTGATACCATTTTATTCCCTAATGATATTTACTGAAGCTGGTTTTCAAAATCACGCAGAATTTCTTACGATTCTAGTAGCAAGTATGCAAGCACTAAGCAGTTTATTTGCACTAGCAACTGTCGATCGATATGGAAGAAGAATACTTTTGATTGGATCAACAGCAGCAATGTTTGTAAGCCTCACAGGGGTTGCAACATACTTCTTATTAAAGGAACTTAAATTTGATGTCACTAAGTTCATGTTAGCACCATTTATCCTGTTCTGTCTCTATGTTATCTCATTTTCAATTGGATTAGCACCTGTGACTTATGTTTTATTGGGAGAAATATTTTTGCAGGAAGCGAAAGTTTATGTTGCGCCAATAAGCAAATTTCTAAACTTTATGTTTGCCTTTACGGTAGCAATAACATTTCCGTTACTGACTGGAGTTCTTGGATTTGGGACAACATTTTACTTGTATGCCTTTCTAAATTTATTGGGAACATTTTTCGCAATATTTTTCGTACCTGAAACAAAAGGTGCAAGTCTAGCAGAGATTCAATCGATTTTAGGAATGGATTGGAGATTATAAATTTCTAATGAGTAGCTAGTTGGATGTATAGCTTAAGTATTATAAATAGACTAGATATTGAGCATAAAATAAAGGAAAGTTTCATTCATGAATAAAAGATTCAACGCATGATCAAGTGAGAAAAGCATAACCGATTGCTACATATATGTTGCGCAGTGAATTAGGAATACTGGCTGTGAGAATTTTAAAAAAGCGGTAAAGAAGAGAAAAAAAATTATTCAAATCGGTTCATATATTGGGTATAGTATAGTCTGAAGAAGTGTTAAGGTGTTGATGAAATTTTGTAATCTTTAACCAATTAAAACGAGTTCAATTAAATTAAATTAATCATTTAAATGTTCTGTGGACCATAGAGATTCAAAACATTATGATTGTTGGTGAAATAGGTGTGAAATTGTGTATGTAAAATTAAAATCTAATTATAAATAAATTTTTTGCAAAAAATGACTGATTTAATAAAGGGATTGTTATCGCAGATGAGCTCTAAATTCAATGAGCAAACCAATCCAGAGTTAGTGAAGAAATTGGATTTTCATGATGATAAAACACTGAAGTGGAAAACATTAATTAACAATACATACGCGAAAAAAGATCGCGAGAAACGAAATAAAAATAGAAATAAAGATGGTGAAGATTTGACGGACGATAAAAGTTCAATTCAACAGCAAGAACCATCAACATCTACTTCTTCATTAATTAATACAGATATATCATTAAATAGTTCAGATTCTGATAATAAAATTATAGATTCAGAAAGTATGGATAATGCCGAAGAAACAAAATCAAATCAAAGTATAAGTGAGAAGTTTGGTAATAATGTTAAAGAGAAAAAAATCGTAATTGACGATGATTTACATACACCCGAACAAAAAAGTAATGCTGCTGCACAACAAGCAGCCAGCACACATACACTCAAAGGCGACGACGATGAAAAAAATATTATTTCAACTAATTTACCTCAATTGAATACAAACAGTCAAGCAATTGAAAGCAGCAACACCAAAGTAACACAAACCACTGTAACAACAACAGCATTAACTGCTGATAAGAAACATGATGATAATACTGTAATAATGAGCAGTAAAATAAATGAAAACGTAAGTAGTATTGGTGTTGCTCTTAGTGATGATGATAAGAAAGCTGTCTCCTCAACATCAACAGCAGGAAAAACATCAAAAGTTCCTGCAACTATAACAAATAATAGTAATACTTGCAATAAAATTATTGATAAAACAATAAGTTCGTCACGAAATTTAAGAAGTAACCGAAATTCAACAATCCAGCAAAATATTTTACAAAATAGTTCAACAACACCAACACAGAGGCAAATGTCGAATAGTAGCAGCACTATGTCGGATGATAAAAATAAAAGTGATGAAATAGCAGTAAAAAGCGATTTAGATGAGAACGAAATAACAAATAATGAGGATTCATCGAATGCTACAACTGATACTACACCGTCTGTTGTCAAAAAAGGACGTGGTCGTCCGAGATTAGAAATTAATAAAAATTTATATAATAATAACACGAATGTTACTAATAATGTTGTTGCTTTGAAAAGTTCTAACGATGGCAGTGGTAGTGCAGCAGAGGGAAATGAAAATGAATTGGATATAAACCAAAAACGTGGTCGTGGAAGAATGCCGAAAACGCGATCGATAAATGAATCGGTAAGTGAGGAGAAAAAATGTGAGACACCCACAGAAGATGTAGATGTAAAAAAGGAAATGGAAATCGAAGAATTACCCAAACGTCGAGGTAGATCACGAAAATTGGTTGAAGGGAAAGACGCAACTGCGGACTCGTCAGTTAAAGACGAAAAAGAAATTGACATTATTCAGAGTAATGACGATGAGACATCAAAATCGCAAGATCACATGGATGCTTCAAAACGAAAGCGAGGACGATTAATGAAAAAACCAAATGAAATTGATTTACCTGTCGAGGATAAAACAGATATCAAACCATCAACTTCGGCTACAAACACACCTGAAAGTCCTGACGATGCTAAACCGCGCCTGCTTATGACAATTCGCACTGATAAATCCGCAGTTCCAAAAATTATTGCGTTAAATGCTAACACTAATGGTAATTCGTCTGAAAACTCAACAACAAATGTTGTACCAGAAAATAATGTAACAGAAGATCAGGAAAAAGTAATTAAAAAGCGAGGTCGACGACCTAAAGTAATTACTGGGAAACAAACACAAGCAAAGAAAACTACGAGATCAGCAAAAGATGAATCGGATGGAAACATATCAACTGAACAACAAATTCCAAGTCCACGAAAAGTTGACCCAGTACTTTTAGCACCACCAATTGGAAGAATGCGTTCACAGCGGCGAATTAAGCCAACTGCAAAAATTTTAGAAAACGAAGAACTTCGTCAAGGATTTGAAGTTACAAACTGCAAACGACTAAGTTTGAGCAATGAAAATTTAATCGATTCATTTATGATTGAAAGAAGTCCGCCAGCAGCAAGTCGTAGTGGTCACGATAGTAGCACCACTAGATCACCTAATGTTTCATCACCAAATCATACATCACATGATAATAATCAGGAAAATTCGCCAATACTCAATAAAATGAATTTTCCTAATAAGAAAGCATGCCGTGATCCTCAGGAATTTTTGAATGAAATTAAGAGCTTTAAAATAGGAACGAACAGGTCACCAGAGGATAATAAGAAATTAACAAAGAGTCAACATAGACGTCTAATTAAACAAAAGGAAAAGCATTTAGGCTTACTAGGTTTAAGACCTAAAAATGACTATTCAAGTAGTTCTAATGAGTCTGATTCTGAAGAATTTAATCCACATAATACGTCATCTTCAAAGAGACCTACCATAACATTAAGATTACGTAATCAACACAAATCTTCGATGGGAATATCACCTGCTGATCACAAACGCAATGTAAATTTAAGAAAACGTGAAAATGATCGTGATATTTTACAGTCAGAAAAGCGTATGAAAATGGCTAGTGTGACATCATCAGCAAAGGAAATGGAAACAAGTGATGATGATGACTGTTTTGTTGTCGAAAGTAACTCGAAAACTCAAAATGAAGGCAAAGAAAATAATCACATTAATCTCGTATGCTCGTGTCATCAGAAAACAAAGTATTACATTAAACAAGGTCAGCATGTATCTTTATCAGTTAATGGGAAGATTTTCTGTTGTGCAATAGATGAAATTGAAAAGAGAAAAATTGGATGCACAAATGAATTAACAGACTCGTTAATTTGCCTTTATCGTCCAAGTGTAAAAGTTAGCTATATGGCACTTTGTAGTAGCCATAAAAAACGTTTTGCTGCACATAATTGCTGCTCGGGATGTGGACTGTTTTGTACTCAAGGAACATTTGTTATTTGTAGCAATAAACACTTTTTCCATCGCAATTGTGCTACAAAATATATTTTAAATACACCATATGAGCCCAACAATCCGAATTATACTGGTCCCACATTACTCTTGAAGTGTCCACATTGTGGAATTGATGCGCCTGATTATGATTATCGTGTCACAATGAGATGTGAAAATTTACCAGTTTTTATACAACACCGTAGTAATGTTCCGTAAGTAGGAAGACATTTTTTTCTTTTGTTATTCTCAATGAAAAAAATAATAATGGCAATAAGCCAAGACTCAACTTAATTAAACATTTTTTCTCTTTTATTTCCTATATCTAATTAATAAAATAGTAAACCAGCGAAGATGGGTACAATGCTTCGTCATCCACAAAATAATCATGTAATCCAATTGAATAGTCTTATTCTGAACATTGATAAGTTAATTCCTGATACCGTAATGCAAATTCTAAAAACTGCTTATGATCGCTTAAAGCTACAACATGGCACATCTGATCTTTCTAAATTATTCGCACCAAAAGATGTCTTTCATGCAATTTATCGTAAAGATGGTGAAGAACGAATTTCAGAAATTATTGCATCAGGCTTTAATTTGATGACACCATTAAAAGATTTTCATAATGGAACATGCTTGCATTTAATATCAAATTTCGGAACATTGACTATGGCATATTTAATCTTGAGTCGTGCAAATTCACATGATTTTGTTAACATGATGGATAAAGAGATGAGAACACCAATTATGTATTCAGTTGCTGGCAAGAAACATGATATCTTGAAATTACTCTGTCAGTGTGGTGCAGATGTAACGATCAAAGGACCAGATGGAATGACTGTTTTACATCTTGCGGCAAAGAGTGGAAATCTTGGTGCTACTCAAATAATTTTGGAAAATTATCGTCAAATCGCTACAATATCAAAATTGCAAAAATTCATCAACACTACTGACGATGGTCATTGGACACCATTAGTATGGGCTGCTGAAAATGGACATGGAGAGATTGTAAATTATTTAATTAGCTTAGGAGCCGATCCTAACATATGTGATTCTGAGAACAACACAGTCTTACATTGGGCATCACTTGCGGGAAAACTTGAATCCATTTATCCACTAATGACCAACAGTGATCTCAACATTCAAAATATTCATGGCGACACAGCGTTGCACATCAGTGCACGTCAATCCAAGCCAAGAATTTGTATGTTGCTAATGGCACACGGTGCAAATTTAAATATTCGTAATCTTGCTAATGAAACGCCACTAGATGTAGCCGACGAAAAAGGCGAATGCGCAAAATTATTACGATTTAATATGGATTTACGAACCATTGGCATTGGTGGATTTAAAAGTAATATTGGAGATAAATTAATTTTATGCAAGTATGTTTTGCATGTTTATATGCCCTTTAATTTTTTTTAATCACATGCTTTACATTTTGTTCCACAACAATAGCGATATTTCAAATGGAAGGGAAATTTATCCGATTCAAATTTCAAGAAATCTACAACACAGTGACGAAACAATCTTGCCAGATTTTAAATACATCACAAAAAATATTCTTCTACAGAACTCAATACAAATTGATCAGCGTATATCACAAATGCGAATTTGTGCTTGTTCTGATAAGTAAGATGATGAACTTATTTCTTATTTGTTCATGTATTCATTTTTTTCTTCAATTTATGTACCTTTCTATGTCAATATGTGCAGCTGTATTTCTGAAAATTGTCAATGTGCACAAATATCATTGCAAAATTGGTACAACATTGACGGTCGTCTTATTGCCAACTTCAACTATACAGATCCACCGATGCTCTTTGAATGTAATGATGTCTGTGGATGTAATAAATTACTCTGCAAGAATCGCGTTGTTCAAAACGGAATCAAACTTCCACTTACTGTCTTCGAGTGTGATGATAAGGTTAAGGGCTTTGGTGTAAAGTGCCTCACAAGAATACGTAAAGGTTCATTCGTTGCACAATATTTAGGTAAAATGATATTCTTTGTCATTATTAGTGCTGTGCTTAATTATTGTTTTCTTATTATTTAGGTGAAATTTTAACCGATCAAGAGGCTGATCGTCGAACAGATGATAGCTATTTCTTTGATCTAGGAGCATCAGATGTAAGTTTATAATTCATGCAAAAATACATAAAAGAGTTGAAAATTGAGTCACAATTAATTTAAATTTTCTTCTATTTATAGCACTGCATTGATGCAAACTTCTATGGAAATGTAAGTCGATTCTTCAACCACTCATGCTCACCAAATATTGTTCCAGTCAGGGTCTATTTTGAGCATCAAGATTTGCGCTTTCCAAAGATCGCACTCTTTGCATCAAAGGATATTGAACCTGGCGAAGAAATTGCGTAAGTTGAGACTTTGATAACGAAATTTTATAAAATAATAAGCATGTTATTTTTCATTTAACACAGCTTTGATTATGGCGAGAAATTTTGGATGATTAAATACAAATACTTCAAATGTTTATGTAAGTCAGACAAATGCCACTATTCAGCTGATATGATAGATAAGACTGTTGCTGAATATCATAAACGTCATGGAGGTGGAGTTAGCAATTAAATTGACATTTATTTTGACTTGAGAAATGACTAAAATTTTACAAACTAATGAAAAATACAAAAAAAAAACAATATTGAGGATGAACGAACTAAATGACTAGTCATTTACAAAGAAAAATCATTGATTGATTAATAAAATTTATATATCAGGAGAATGAATGAGAGTAGAGAGGAGTAGAATTAGATTTTGATGAGATTTTCACGATAAAAAAAATTAAATATATCACTGGACTACATCCCTAAGAAAAATGAGTCGTTCACTTATTATGGAACATAAGAAAACTGACGTCTCATACCGAGATTTCTTGAGATTTAAAATTGTCTCAAAATCTCAGATCCACCTGTAATTTTGTAAGCATTGTGCCATTCTTAGTAATGATTGAGAGATCAGCCTTTAATGGAAATCGAACCAACTTCCTCATAAAAGATATAATTACAGATTTAAAGTCCGTTGACTAGCCACTCGACTACAGTTGATAGAATATTCGATTATATATGGCTCGATATCGTAGATCACACCGCTAACCAATAAAATGCGTAAATTTAATGAGTGAACGATCCAGAAATGAAAATGAAGTAGAAATCAAGTTGAAGAACTTTCCTGTAAAATTTAGATGTGAAAATTGCACGGTTTCTGTAATTATAGATAAAACACACACAAACACAAAAAAAATGAATGCATGTTAATTTCATATTTTATCAACATAAAATTAAGATTTTGCTCACTATATTAATATTAATTATCTATAGCTTCGTTAGAGCTGGCATTTTGTGATTGAGAATTTCAAGAATTTTGTCATCAAGATAAATTTGTATATTTTTTTCTACATTAATAAAAGAATTAGAAAATGTACAGAAAAAGAGATAAAATTTTTACGAGGTTCTTGAAATTTTTTCATCACTTGAAATGACTTGCACTTGTCGATGAGAAACAGAATATGCTTTATTATAATCAATTAATTGAGGAATGATTTATTTTATTAGAGAATTTAGTGATTTTGAATCTAATTAGTCAAATTTTTGCCACTGATTTAATTTCCTTTTTTTCCTTTTTTGCTAGTTTGAATTCTTTAGTCTGTGACTTTCATTATATAAATTTATCATGATAATAAGTAACGAAATTAATTAAATAATTTACTATTTACTGCCCTTTGTATACACACATACATACATAGAAACTGACGAGAAAATGATACAATTGGAAATTGTTGCCATATATATTTTTAAAACTCTTTTGACGCTAATTTACCAAAGCAAAATTTATAATTTTAATTTTAAATAAAGTAAATAACAAATATCAAGAAAAAAAAAGAAATTTATAAATTGTGAAAAAAAAACAAAGTTTTCCTATATATATTTTATAAGTACAAAAAAAAATTATTCTATGCATGATTATAATTATGTATGCCTCAAATTATGTAACCAAAGGAATAAAAATGTTCATTTACAGATATCAAATATCATTAATTATTATTAATTTATGTAATTAAACCAAATGGAGGTGTGAGAAAAAATTTCTTTTGAATAAATCACATGAAATTATTCACAAATGAAAAAATAAAGTTGTTGATAACGAATAATTGAGTAGATAAATGAGAAATACAAACAAAAATTATTGGAATGGATTTTTTTTTCTAAAATGTAATAACTCACTTGTGTGAAGATTGTTTTTAATCCATGGGTTTTCTTTATGGATTAAAAGTTGATCTTACCTAATATTAATAAATTTTTGAATTGGCAAAAAAATTAAAGATAATAAATATCTAAACAAATCGAAATTTTGATTTTCGGAGAATGCAAATGAAATTTTTTTGTTGAAGTTTTTTACAGTGTTGAATCTAAAAACCTAATAACAGTTCAATTTTATTTTTTCCTCACAGATTTTTGAGATTTTTTACGAAATTTAAAAGAAAAAGATTGGAAGACTTCGAAAAAAGTGTTTAAATTCACTAGAAAGTACACTAAGGTCGCAGAAAAAAAGGACTCCAACAGTGAAAATAATTCAATCTAATCTTTCATTGTAGGAGTTCTTTTTCTATTCGACCTAATTGTGATTTTCATTGAATTTAAACTAAATCGTAATTAGACGAAATCTCGTAGAGTCAATGAGTATGAATCAGATGTTTTTGAAAAACAGAATTCTACCTTTAAAATCCTCAGATTTACAAAAAAAGAAAATTAAATCGTTTAACAGAAAACCTTGACAAAAAGACAAGTTTTAAAGTTAAAGTCATTTTGTGTAATGATTGAGAATTTAAGTGAGAATCAAAATCTTGTTCTAAAATTAAGGATCTGCCACTGTTAAGGGATTTTCTTTTGTTTTGGGCATAAACATTTAACGCAATGACAGATTTTCTTAATTCCCCAGATTCTGCTCTATTTTGACACCACAAATGAAGAACAAGCTACACATTCAACAGTTTGTTCTCAAAGTAAATTTGAACCCTCATCTTATACTTTTCAAGTAACATATTCTTATCTCTTTGATTAAGATGATTCAGACAAAGCACAGACAAAAAAGAAGAAACAAAACATAAAAATTTATGAACAAGTTTTTTTGAAATAAGTCTCAGGAGTCTTTGTTTTTGATCTCAAATTAAGAAAGAAAAAAAATTAAGCTCGTAGTTTTTAAGATATTTATTCAGTAATATTCTAATTTTAAAGTCTTTAAGTCAAAACATACAGAAAAAGTCATCAAGAATGAAAATAAAACACTTCAGACATCAGAAAACTTCAAATTATTCCATAACATGAATATCATGATTTAATTCGAGCAAACAATTAAAATGTCCTAAAACAAACAAAGAAAGGAACAATATCGATCAAATAATCAACAACATAACTTAACGGATTCTACAAATTCAAACGGTACGTACTTCCTTACGTAAATTACATTTACATTACATAGCGTAAATTTCAAGAGAGTGAAAAATTTTATGGTACAAGAGAGTAATGCGACTATATCGTGTATACGATAGAGAAAACAAAAAAGATTACTCACAATTCAGTTGCATCAGAGAATCGGAGCTATCAACACCGAAAATATAATAATTATCGCACTCCGTGTAATTTCTCTATTTAAATTCGGTGAGAGATTTTTTTAAAAAAAAAATCAATTTTGTGGTGCAATAACTCATCTCCTTATTTGATTCCGCAAAATTCATCAAATTGGTTTAAAACAATTCAATTTAAATTAAATTGAACAAAAAAAAATTCGGTAAAAAAAAAGAAAGAAGAAAATTTTTGCATTTTTTCGTACACAGAAAATAAAGGAAGATAAAAAAGGTGTGCATAAAAAGAAGGAAAAAATTTGTGTATGCAAAAGAGAAGAAAAAAAAAGAAATAACGCAAAAGAGAAGCAAGGAAAAAAATTGTTATTGTGTTCAAAAAAAATTCTTCCTTAAAAAATAGTTTTAAAAAAAAACTTTAAGATCAAAAAGGATTTTCAACTGCAATGCGTGATTTTTGCCTCATTAACAACAACAGTACAAAGATGGCCGAGCTCAAATTTGAAGCACCATTGGCACAATTTGAGGAATCTGATGAATGGGGACCGATTGACTATCAATCAGTCACACAACCAGCTAATCCTGTCGATTCACTCAATTACTTGAACAACTTAAAGGAAAACCTTTTAACGATCGATAATAATAATCTCAATAATAATAATAACAATAATAACAATAATAATAATACAATTGAAAATTTAAAATTGAATGCAACAAATAACATTAACAATAACAACATAAAGAAGATTCTAACAAAGGATAATATTGATAACTTTAATGAGGCATTTACCGGCAGTTTGGAAGACTTAGTCAATACGTTTGACGAGAAAATTACAAAATGTTTTGGAAATTATGAGCAATCAGTTGAGGAATTAGCACCGGTTCAAGTTCGCAGTCAAGAAGAAATCATGAACGAATGCCAGTAAGTTTTATTTCTCACTTAGCACTTACATTTATATATATTTCTGTCTTCATCGAGCCGCTCAGTAAGCGCATGAAATAAAATATTTAATTAATCTTCATGTCGGTCCACCTACACATCTCATGCATACTCTCATACAATGGATGAACAAAAAAAATAATAATAATAATAAATATTGCCGTGAATTATTCAATGATGATGCTGCTGTTGCTAGCAGTTACTACGAGTGTAGGACAATTCCCCACTGTAATTTCGCCACTTTACATTTGGCCACTGACATTTCACCACCACTACATTTTGCCACCTGTATATTTTGCCACTATTTATTTGCCCACTATTTATTTGCCCACCTGTTTTTTTCGCCACTGCTTTTTTCGCCACCTTTTATTTGGTCACTATTTATTTGCCCACCTGTTTTTTTCGCCACTGCTTTTTTTGCCACTAATCATATGGCCACAAGTTTATTTGCCCACTGATTTATTTGCCCACTAAAGCAAATGATAAAATAAAAAATTGTAAAAAATATTGAAAAAATTTTGTTAAAAAAACATGAAATTTTTAAAATTATTTTTTGGAGCATTTATGGAATAATTGGCCATATTTGGGTGTTCTGAAAAAATCATGCGACCGTACGTAAATGTGCTTGAAGGTGTAACGATATATTGAGATTTGAATAATCTCTCTTCTCTGGCTTGGACTTATCATCACTTATCCACTCTTGCTTCCTTCATTTATTTTATTCTATTTTTCCTTACTAGTTTTTATTAATTTTAATGTTTAAAAAGCTTTAAAGGTTTAATTAACTCTCAATTTACTATTTCATCATTCTATGAGATAATTTGAATAGAAATTAAACGTGACGTAAGGATGCTGGGTTATAAGTCCAGAGATTATAAGTCCAGGTACAAAAATCGTGCACAGAAAATTATAAGTCCAGAAAATCAAAGTCAATAAAGGTTTATAAGTCCAGATACAAATTGCACCTGGACTTAAAAACCTCACCTGCAGTTTATAATTCCAGGTACAGATACTGCTGGAATTATAAACTGCACGAGAGGTTTTTAAGTCCAGGTACATTTTATATCTGGACTTATAAACCTCACGTGTGGTTTATAATTCCAGAAAATTTACAAATTTTACTTATAATCTCCCAGTGCGATTATAAATCCAGATACATTTTTCTGGACTTATAATCTTTGAAAATTATTTGATATAATTTCAAATTTTTATATTCATACCGTATTCACGTGTGAATCAATTGGTTTTGTTCAGATTGAAAAATCAGTTTTTTGCATTCTGTGAGAAAACAAAGCAAAGAGGATTTTGTTTCCCCTTTTTATTCTTGTATTATTTATATTTTAAATGTTAACATCCAGAGGGAAAAATGTGATTTTTATAAATTTTTACACGCTACTGTACCTTGTTTTCTATTCAATCTTTTTGTAAAAGGTAAAATCATAGTCAAAACCAGCAGAATTTACGAAAAATTACATTAACTGTAAGGACAGCTAAGCACTTGTCTAAGCTATAAACACCATCTATATTTACTACTGTTTTTACTTATACACATTAAACTACAGCTGTGAATTGATTTTTACGTAACGACGTAAGTTCATCTGTAATCTACAGCTGTAATTTTAGTACAGCTGTAATTTGATGCTAAATAGTATAAGGTAAAGATTACTATCAAAAAAGTGCGCAAATTTCAAAATATTTTTGCGCAAATTTCAAAATGAAAACTTAAATGTCAATTTAAAAAAAACAGGTGGGCAAATAAATAGTGACCAAATAAAAGGTGGCGAAAAAAGCAGTGGCGAAAAAAACAGGTGGGCAAATAAATAGTGGCAAAATATACAGGTGGCAAAATGTAGTGGTGGTGAAATGTCAGTGGCCAAATGTAAAGTGGCGAAATTACAGTGGGGAATTGTCGGTAACCCGTTACTACATGCTCATGAACATTTGCATTCTCACGGAGACGAGAGAACAGTGACAAATCATAATAAAAAGAAGAGATGCGAGAAATGAAAAGAATTTCTTGACATTTAATTGTGTCAAGAAGCAAGAAGAAACTGAATATAGAGTCTATCCTATGCCCTCAATATGTCTGCATAAACATTGAAGCTATCTGTTTTACAAATTTTCATCACTTTCATTGCCAAAAAAAAATGAACATATTTCAAGAATAATTTTTTTTTCGTTGCCTTGGAATATTTTTTTGCGTACATTATGTGCTGCTCTTCTTGTGTAAAACTAGGGAAACTATGTAGCACGTCATGGGTGGCTCTTTTTATTGTTGGAAATTTTTGGACGATTGTTGAATTTTGTTTTGTGAGTTGTTATGAACAATGCAATTAATTGACTTTTATTTTTGAACTTGTGAGAATTTTCTGAGATTAGGTTTGGGTGGATATTAAGGCAAACACATGCATTTTGTCTTCAAGACTATGAAATCTTTTAAAAAGTAGAGATTAATGTTTCATTGATTTACTACTATAAATAGATAGCGTATTCAGCCATGAATATTTGCAATTAAGGATGATAACTGCAGCTCTATGTCAAAGACAATCTTTTTAATTAAGTCTATCTTTTTACCTATTTAAGCAAATAACTTTTTTCTATAGCTTAGTTTATGCCAAATAAAATGGTTTTTAAGACTATTGTGTTTTAGGAATTGAACCCACGACTCAATAGAATCAAAAATCATAGATGTCAAACCTCTGATCTAAACTCGACAAAGAACCTTACTTTCTTACTAGCAGAATTGCTTACATTTGACAAGACTTTTCATATTCTTTTCTACAACGACTAGATTCTTCTTTCCAAAAAAAAAAAACAATAACAAGGACAGAATGACATTCAAAATAATTCACCTAAATTCAACTCAGACTTCTTGGCAATACTACGACAAAATATGTTATGTGACGTTAGACGTAATATTGCATAAGTTACTCAATTTTGCAAACATTTTAAAATTCAATCACGTAATTTTTGGGTAATTAAATCGCAATTCCGTAAAATTTATCGAAAGAACTTTTTCTTCAAATTCTTCATTCTCAACTTATTATTGATTTTAATCGATAAAATGTCAATAATCTGCTTATGCTCATAAAGAATTATTTTTCTTATAATTTTCACGACATTTGCAGAATTTTCGACAACTTCTCTAGATAGAACGCAAAAAATAGATCCAGTGGCATAATATGTTATTGACTATTGAACGAATTTTCTTTTTATAAACTTTATTGATCCATTACTACCAACATTTAACTAGCTGAATAGGAAGTATAAAAATGTAAACGATATGAACAAAAATTTGGCAATGTGCAGAATAAAAATTGTGCCTGAAGAATATTAATTTAGAGCACAAGAAAAAGAAAGGAAATTAAATGAATTTGTCGAAAAATCTATACCAGATTTACTTTGAAGTAAGCAAATCTTTTTAGCACGTAAATTAATGAATTTTTGGGCTAGCGGCTCATGTTTCTAAAATTGTAAAATACAGTTAGGATTTGGGGATGTTTATAAGTTACGTTCAATGAAAACTTGAATTTTTTGAACCCAAGCTTACTTCTCAAAAACATATTGAGTGTCTTACAGCTCTAGGATCCTCTAGCTTCTATAATAGATGAATTATTCCCATGGTAACATCATTTTTAAATGACCCCATAAGAATATTTCAGCATTATGTCATAAGAAAGCTCAAGACCAGAATTATTGCAATTTTTATAAGGCGCACTTGACAGTTACGCTACCAAATATAGAACCTGTCTACCTGTCGCGTACGAAAAATATAAAGAATCAGTCTTGAAAAATAAACTTTATAACAAAAAAAGTGTCGATGACTCTCGAGAGGTGCTTCGAGATTGCTTTTTATTGTATTGCGGCACAAATAAAAAATCTGCAAAAAAATAAGAAGAAGTCAAAACATCTGTGGGCTGTTTTCTACTGGAAATAAGATTGATTGTTGAGATATTTTAGCAGTAAATGAACAGTTCTGCATTGCAAATTTGAATTTGTTTAAAAATTAGTTCCATTTAAAATTAATTATTCTTAAAGAAATCTCAAAAATGTCTTTCGGATGTAAAACAAAATAAATGTTCGCGATTGCGCATTGCTCACCATTGGGATCAACTTACGGACTCGATTGCATGTAAACAGAAAATTTTATAATGGAAAAAATATTTTCCTTTTCTCTCTCACTCTCTCTGGATGGCAGTAAAATATTTTTTTATACACGAAAAAAGAAAATAAAGCGTCGACAACGATGCGAATGAGAAAAATCAATATCATCAGCAGTTCCAACTCACACTGACTTTTCCTCTGTGTGCTGTATTTTAGATGGGAAATATTATGTGCGAATGTATGGGTGGAAATTATTTTGCTATGGAAGGGAAAATGCTCGATGAATCATCAGAAGCTTCTCTTCATCCATTATTTTTGGATACAGAATTTTTATATCACCTAACATCAACAACGTCATGTTACTACTCTGCATGAAACATTCATTCATGGCTTTTTTTTTCATCCCGCCTTTTATAAGTACCGAAGCAATAGAGAATGTAGACAGTGTACTACCTTTATTTCCTTAATATTTAATAAAAATAATAACAATAAGAAGCAGCGGAGCAGCAATAAACATTAAGAGAAAGAGTACATGAGATTTATATCACATAGAAACAGAGAGAGGGATGAATCTCATGCAGTTTTTATATCCAACTAGATGTGCGATGTTGCCATATTTGTCTGAAGAGAAATCTGTATCAAAAAGAGCATCGGATAGACTTTTGATTTGTTTTGGTTGTCTTTTTTTTTTTTTTTGGGTCTCAATGACACATTAATAGCTATAAGATTTCACCGATCAGTTTTTGGCAATTTTTTAATCTGCGAAATAAATTTTTTAGAGTATAAACATTTTCTATGCCTTTACGCCCACACTATTTAGCAGAGAGAGACGATGATGATGATCGCGTTTTAAATTTCTTTGTGTTTTTTTTTTGGCA